CATGAGATCAGGGCCCTTGCTGCGTCATGGGCCCTCCTCAATGGGTCCCCCTTTCAGGAGGTCATGTCCGCAGCTTTCTGGCGCGGACAGACTACCTTCACGGATTTTTATCTCCGGTCCTTGGCCTCTCATTCTGATGGATTGTATTCCCTTGGACCGGTGGTGGTTGCACAGTCTGTGGCTGTTCCTCCACAGTAATTCAGTGATTTTAAATAGTATGCTATCAGGCACCACGGTGGTACACCTGCTCGTTTCACGGGGAGGTTTTCCATTTTTTAATTACTTTCGGGGCTTTATTAGGGGGGTTCCTTGAACCTTTTCCCTACCTTGAGCATGTCTCGAGTTTGTTCCGTCAGCCTGGTCTGCCTGGATTCGAAGCCTCCACTACGGTAAGACGAATTCGCATACTAAAGTTATGGTAATTATTACTGAAATGAAATTGAGGTTTTTGAAGTAAAACCAATTTTCATGATGTAATACTTACCATAACTTTATGGAGTCCCACCCTGTATTCCTCCCCTTGCCTCCTCATCCTGGCTGCCTTTAGGCTCCATAAAAGGGGGTTTGAGGAAGGGAGATCACTCCGTGGCTCTGTCATCGAGATAGAGATTACGTCACGGTAGGGAGGTAGGGATATTTGAATCTTTTGTTTTTGGGCTACAAAGATGGGTGTAGGTATTGTATATGCATACTAAAGTTATGGTAAGTATTACATCATGAAAATTGGTTTTACTTCAAAAACCTCAAAATATTCTTAACATAATTAAGTGATATATGTCCTACAACATCAGAAATTAATGCGATGCTTTAAGATACAGTAATACATTTGACAACAAACCTTGAGAGATATTACAATTATGTTCACTTAAAAAGGCTTTGTTGTCTCTACGTTACTCAAGAAAGGATCATACATTTATGTAGCTTGAGTAAATAGCAAAATAATGTTGAGCACAGATTGTTCGAAACGGAATTGTCATAAATATATAATATTTAAACGTAATACTAAGTTAAAAGGGACATAGTTTGTGTTGCAAAGCGTTTCTTCCCTCATACCTGCTTAACAATTTTTCCTTCTTATAAAAATAGTCTCATATATATTTTTCGATTATACCCATTTGTTGTTGTATGCATGCTTACAGTGTACTACATGCTCTTGAATTACATTGCAGATTTCACCAAAGAAGTTCAACTTGTCTTCAGACATTCTTGACTTAGAAGAATTGCCATTAAGTATTTCAAAATCATTCAAACTTAAAGCAATGTTTCAAAGTCCTTTATCCACATACAAACTTGTGTTACACAGCCAAAAAAGATCACTTAAAATTGCTTCTTTCCGCATAAGTTCTGTTGGTGAGCACTTCAAAGATATCATACCACCGCCGACTGGGCCTGATCCAGATGATGGCTTATTTTGTTCCGGCGATACAACCACGCGAATGATATTTTTTGATTACCTGCCAAATAAAGGTAATGACTATGAATTAGAATAAGACTGTCTGAACTATTAGCATTTTCTATCTACATTTACATTTAGATGGATAATGAAAAATAAGTAAGTTCCTTTGTTTTACATTGTGTGAAATACATCCAATGTATTCTTACCCTCGTTTAAGTAAATTAACTTTCTAGTGAAAATTGTTATCATCTTCAACGTACTCCTGCTTAGGTGGGAAACTTCGCCCAGTCAAATACTCGCCCTTCACTGTAAAAATCTGTATTCGCCCTGTGTCAATTTTTGCCCTTCACCTGTAATTACTATAAATTGTAAACTGTGTACTTAAACTAACTGTCATGATAAATTTCCCTTTATTACGGCGGAAATAAAACTGCAGCGAAAAATTCCCGGTATGCAGAAGTTTTATATTAATCAATTATAAATAATATGTCTAACGTTGATGCAAACTTGTTACGTGATTAACACAACGTTATTCTTTCAATCATTTATATTGCTATATATTCGTCAATGCATTACAATGGGTTTTTTAATTGATTTCCTGTTAGAGCCTACGATGACAACGCCCCCGCAATTGATGATATCGTTGAGTTTGAAGTTATGCTGTTGATGACAGAAGGAGCGATTCCCGGAGAAATACACCTCTTTAATATTAATATCGAAGTAGATCACGTGCAAATCATGAACTTAACAAAATATTTCAACGCAACTGAAATAAATCCCGTAAGTATACAATTTATGCTTTAGAATTTCAGCTCTTACCCGAGATTGTAAGATTAATGCATTGTTCTTCATCATCCTTGTTTTGAGTCGGTCATTTCAATTTATCGAAGTCACATGTTCGAATCTATTTTTATACTCAATATAATGGAAGTGGATAGAAGAAAATATGAAATGTTTCTTTTATTATTATTTGAAATATCAAAACTATGATTCAATTACATTTTGTATATATTGCTTAAATATATTTTTACACTTCATGTTATACATTTATATATAAAACGAACACACGGTAGTGCGAACAAACTTCGCTAAGACTGTTATTCTTGAGAATATTAAAAGCCGAGTTTGATTTTTGTAATGCTTCATCAATATAAATCACCGCTGAACACAATTTTATTGTTCTACTTCTTATGACAAGGTATTGGAAAATACATGGATATTACAGTAGCCATGATCATGAATATGAAATGCTTCCAGGTCCGATTCGGTCGTTCATGTAGCATTTATGTTCAGTTCCCCTGTTCATCCTATTTGAATCTGGGGACAGTCAAGCCTCTATTTTAAATCATTATCTTACACGATTCAACGACTTTACGTTTATCTCCTTGCAGATAGATAAAATAAATATTACAGCATCTCAGAGCTACCCACTTATACCTAAAAGTGCAACAGGTAGCGTAACATTTACGTGGGATGTACCGCTGCTGTCGTCTGGAGTTTACTCAATCCGCGCCTCGACAAAGCGGAACACTGGACCAGGTGGGAACGGATTAATCGTAGCGGGAGTGCAAATTGCTTCAGTTGGCTCTAACCTTCCTTGTGTTCCTCGATCAAGACATTGGAAAATGTCTAGTTCCGGTAGCATGAAGGTCTCAAACATACCATATACTACCAGCTCAATTGCAAACAAATTCGGTTTTAGAGTATCAGTAGTAGCAATCTCTCAATTAGTAGAAGCATATTCGTCTCATGAGCTATCAGCGACAATAAGCTACCCAGGCGAGGGGTCTCCGCAGTCCTTTAAATTATATTTCAACATAACCGACAAGGAAATTTTTACGGTGAGCAATATCTTATAACTTGAAAATTGATGTGCCATGAAAATAAGATTTGACCAGAAAAAAATACAAATTATTAACTGATATATGCGTAAAGGTAATTAGTTTTTTCCCGATTTGTAACCGTTTGACCTATTGTTTCTTTCCATAAATGTATAGGTCATAAGTATCATTGTGATATATGGTAAACGCATTGCGTTGTACCAATACCAAGACGGTATGTCGAAAGAACAGATATAATATTTATTATTTTGTTTAATGACCTATTAACAGCTAAGGTCATAAAAGTATGCGTGCATGTGTGTATATTTGTTGGAGACAGGGTATGTTAGTGTAAATACCCCCTTGTGATAGCGCTATCTCACTGAGACGCCATGCCGAAGGCCCCAGCACAGCATTCCGCCTGGTTACATCAAAGTGACAAAGAATGAACCAGTTGTTGTCACTACTCTTGATGCTGAACGATAAGCAGGGAATAACAAAACCATTTTCAAGGACTTTGGTATGTCCCAGCCTAAGGACAGGACGCTTTGCCTTCCTAACGATTTAATTCCCGTATAATTTTTATGTCGATGATGTTAACATATCCCCATTTTTTTTACAAACATGAAATGATTTTAATTCAGCAATCATGAAACGTCAGTGAAATGTCTAAAATTCCAAAACATTTCTTTCTTCCATCGAGGATTTTTGTTTCTCCAGAAATATGTTGTCCTCGTGCATTGTTCATAAAAACATATATACTAAAAAAAACATTTAAAAAAATAGCACCATGCTAATTACGTTTTAACTTGCTTGTTACATATGTTGCTGCACGATCTTTATGACATTGGGCAGTATTTTCTCAGAATGTTGTATATTTCCAGTCGTTGTGTTTTAAACAGTGATAATTAAAGTTGGCAAGGTCGACTTGATGGCGCCACACATGTATATTGCATATGTATACAGATATCCAATGTATGTCATTTAGAAAGGCATCGGATCGATCGATTACAATGCCTTAAACCTTCGAAATGTAATAAATACTAATCAATACAAAAAATGAAAAGAAAGATTGCTCTTTCTAGGAGAATCACTTTGTTTAGCTGTAATGAATTCGCCGAATGTTTCAGACACAGAATAAGCACGGTAACCTGCCACTTGGAATCTACTTTCATGAAACATGTCGGTCAGTCACCCCAAGCACAGACTTAGAGCTAATTCTACACACTCGCCTTGATTCTCGGTACGGTCGTCTGCTTGTGGAGTTACCAATACCGGCCGATTTGATGGGACAGTCATTTATTTTGTGTTACTTTGGAATAGTTTGGGTAGGACACAACATTGTCATCCGATCTAATACAACAATGAAAAGGTAATAGAAGAGTATATTATTACAATAACTCCATCTTGAATATATTTTTTTTCTAATAGAAATGTTTAACAACGCAGTATATCATGTTATAATAATACGACAATTTGTGTAAGAAGAAAAGTTTTATACTTTATTCATTTATGTTTTACTTTGAATTTTTAAAATAATACGAAAATGAAGTACCGTATAATGGGTAACACGGGCTTAAACTTTAATTTATAAGATTTAGGCATGTGAAGAAATAACATTTTCGCGGTGTTTTAGCACAAAGACTTCCCAATCGGCATATAAAGTGTTATATAAGTAAATTAATAGACTTTATAGCGGCGTATTGAGCAACAAGTAAGTGTTTTGTTAAAAATAATCATCAACAAAACTATTAGATGTATGATATAACCTATTTTCAAACATTCTATTTAATAACTCTTTATCCATATGAATCGTCACAACCACATACTCGGTATTTTCTGCCGACATTACGGTAATATCGCTACTCATTTTTACGCTTGTCATGTTATTTTGTGGATCATATTTTCGCGTTTACGTATATGTCCTGCGATTTCACAAAAGTATGATCCCGCAGAAAAAATCCTTCTATACGGTATTTCATATTTAATGATAATATTTCAACATGTTGTTGTGTAAAACAAAGTTTTTTGAATAATAAATATAACATTGGCAATAAGTTTGTTTTACCTCTGTGCGTTGAAACTTGTATCTGCTTTTAATGCTTTAGTATAGGCAATTTATGTTAGAATATTTGTTTACGTTTAACAGATGTGTTTTCTCTTTCAATACAGACGTGATGATGGTATGATTGAAAATGTACTCGTAGACATTTCACCGTTGACAAATATTTATTTTGCAACGTACGATAGACTTACCGTCAACTACGTCACTATGAAAATGGTTGCGACGTTTATCAACAATAGCCTAAATATAAACAATATACCGAAACATTTTACAGCCAGGGTTATCAGCAACAACGTACCTATCTGGACAGGAATCGTACCAATAGCACATCCATCCATTGTAAGTAGGGATTTCAATAAAGATGTCATCTTATCTAATTGTTCCTGAACATGCACAACGCAGGAGAATTTGTGGATATTTATACGGGTGAAATGTATGTCCATAGCAGGTTTCGTTAGGGTAAAACAATCATTAAATAGGTTGAAAGTGTTCAAGGTGTAATATCTTAAATGTATGTGTTCAATATGTTCTGGTGAAAGAATTACATTTACATATTTGCGTATGTTTTAAAATGTTCACTATATGGTTGGTTGTACAAGATTTAACTTCCTATCAACAGCTAAGGTCATTTCCGGATGTGCATCCATGGGTGTTGTGTATGCGTGCATGTGTATATGTGTGTCGGAAACAGGGTGTGTTGGCGCTAGAAAATAAAAGGTAGTTCGAGAGAAATATAAACATTCCAAATATTGCAATGGTGGCAACCGATTTTACTTTGGTCGCTTTTGTATCCCCAAGTAGATGGCACAAAAGCAAATCCCCAATTCTACAGGGGATTCCCTCATAGGTCGCCTCTTACGATACATGCAGTGTGTATTCTTTGCTCAACCCCCGACCTGAAGGAGATCCTAGCCTTCAAGTTATTTACATCAAAATACTTTTATTGCGATCTGACGGTTTCTTCTGCATCTGTACTGTCTAGAGTCACCAAGTCATGTGTTTGGAAAGGAGATTATGTTGTTGCCAATATTATGATTTTGAATAGAATAGAATATCCAAGAGGATAATTGGAAATGATAAATATTGAATCTGAGGAGTATGTGTATCAGTAAAATATTTTGGTTATATATCAAAATAGACTAATCTGCCTAAATGTAGTATAACCTGATGGTTGTATTTTAAATCTAGTATAATCTGCTCTTGCCTGATTTACCCATCAAAGACAAGTTTTATGTGATTCTCGTAGAGTCTTCCATTACTGCACGGTTACATGTAAGTAGTTCTGGAAAGGGTTCGATAAAATGTAAAGCCTGCTACCATTTTTATTGCGTCATGTTGCTAACATACGACATACCATTTTTCACAGTCTAGCGGCATTTGACATATAAAAAGCAAATCACAAGGTATTGCAATGCATTTATGTGTTTTTATGCTTATAAAAAGGAATAACGTTTCATTTTTGTTTTCGCTTTAGGAGTATTATCCAAATTTTGTAGTTGTGACAGAAATTGTAAAATTGGCTTCCACCAATCCGGCGAACATCTTGTACCACTACAGTCAAAATGGCACCTATTATCACCAAGAATCCATAATGGTACGCTTATTTTTCACTTGTTGTAAATACCCAGCCGTGTCAATATCTTTCTAGGAAATATGAAAACACTTGAATATGACATGCTCAGTTTTTTCAATGATTGAAACTTATACAAAGGTAAGAGGTTACTCGGAAAACGAAAAACATGCTTATGTAATTTCTGCATTTCCTTAAAATAGTGAAAAATTAAATTTAATAGAAATATTTAGCTATGTTTGATGCAACCAGATTCTATGAATTATATAAAAAAAAAATGTCTGTCTGAATCCGGTTGTTACACGCATACATAGAGTGGAATCGATAGGTGGCTTTAAGACCAATGTATGTTTTTGAATCATATTGTACTTAATTTATTTCTACCATACAGTGGGATGGTGGAACTCATGGGTTCCAGTTTGCGTTTCCGAAGGTTGTCTCTCACTTTTATTTCACCACTGATGCCTGCACTGTGATTTGTAATGTGACAGCAGCATGGCTGCCGCGTAAGTACGCCCTTGTTAGGTTTGTTTGTCTGTTTGTTTGTTTTTGGGTTTAATGACCTCGCAACAGCCAGGGTTATATATTGACGGTACATAGGGAGGCACAGCCTGAAACAGAAAGTAGCTAGTTTCTAAACTGGTGACACGTATGAGACAAAAGGAATAACACCCCCAATTATGCAGGGGACCCGACATAAGTCGCTTCTTATGATCATGCAGTCGGAAACAGATCGCTTTTTCTTTCCCCGAACCTGCACCGGTTACTTTGTAAAGTAATCAAGCATGTATGATATCATTCACATAACAATGCTAATAGAATTGTAACAGAAATACAATGAAGGTAATTGTTATATTCTTTCACATATTTTCTTCGATGAATACAGTTTTTAAACTTTACTCAATACACAATATTTATGAGACAGCGAACATTGAAATTATGTTGTAATACTAGAGCAATGTCCGTTCATATGCAGATTTCAAATTGAAACAAAAGTGGAATTAAAATACGAAAGCTAGGCTCATAGGCAAGGACAAATATAAATGATATGTCTGAACGAAGATATGTCATTTTGTTATTTGTTAGATAAGACAATGACAAACCTAATACAGATAGTAGTATGTATGTACTGATGGAATCGTTCCAGAATTCTGGTTTGTGTCTGATTCATTATGTTGAAAAAAGAGGATAACAGATACATTTTCATATTTTAATTATGTAAATTTACGTGATAAAAGAAACAAAAGTAACACTTTACTAACGTAGGCATGACGCACGTCCAGGGCTTAAGTGTGACCTCAAATTAAAAAGAACATCATTTTCGGTATTACGTTTTGCATATTTTTGAAACAAAGCGCAAATAAACTAATAATGTATAACCAACGTATATTCAATGTATATTTTCATGTTTCAGTGAGGGATTATATCACTATTGTTCAGGATAACAACGACACTATGTTGAAGATGTTACCATATGCTCTTGACCAGGATTCGGACACGTGCTTTGATTTACCCGTGCCGGGGGATTCCCCCTCCATGCTGTGGATGATTATTACAAAGCTTAGTCTTTTCGGTGTGACGTCACAGAGATTTGTTGTACGAATCACAGGTCACGACATAGAGTGTGGAAACATTGGACAGAAGAGTATCCATGTAAGCCCTTATTTTATTAAATACGTGTTACTCTCATTTTGCACAATAACAGTTAGTTTTTATTATGATGGCCTAGTTTCATCTGACTAAGTTTTTGCCGACGAGGATGTCATCATTAGCGCGAAAAGGTTTTTATCGTTAATGTTTCGGTTACATTCTATTTCGGTAAGATTAAATATGGAATGCTTCCTATGCAGAACTAATTATTTTCAAATATTATTCATTTGGAGTAACAATCTTATATCATCAATATTGTCCAGCAAACTGAGCTCTTTTTGTGGGAAATTCACATGTAGTTTGTGTATATCGAGGTATATATTGATTGTTTTTATATTTCTATACACATAGTTGATAATTTTCATACATTTTCTGTTCAGGTTGGAACGTCTGGACCTGCCTATAATCATCAATGCAGCACCGAATCAGATGTAATATTTTGTACGTTACTCTTACGTACTGATAATGCTACCATGACGCAATGTGACATAGAATGCGAATGTGACACGTTGGAACAGTGCTCGAACGTTCACATTTTCATGCAGAGTACAAACACGGATGTCTGGAGTTTATGCGAACTCTCAATAAATGATGTGGTAGACATATGAACAGATTTTCTGGACGTTTTGCCAACTCACCAGAATTGATGATGTGTAAGTGATACCCTTGGGATATGCAAATTAGTGTCATGTCGTTGTTAGGTCTATCAATAAAATCAAACAATGATTTGTAGGAATTGTTTTTGGCATTTGACAACATGTGAAAAATTAATAGATTACACCATATATCATTGTTCCTTAATAACAATTATTTCGAAGTTGTACGCCCTCGCAATAACTTACTCCAGGGAAAAAACAGGTGTTTGGAGGTAGCGAAAAAAACCCGAACTGTTATTAATCATAAATAGCTCAGTACGGTAGTGGAATGTGCATCGTAGTCTTCAATTAAAAACAATACAGGTTCATTTTGAAAAGTCATGTGCAATCGATTATACATATCATTGTATAAATTGTTGATATAAGTGTGTTATATTTACCCTGAAAATAGGTTGTAACAGAAAGCATTGTTTTCTTTTCTAACATTTCACTGTATGGTTATTGATAAGGCGAATGATAAGGAAACATTAAGGTTGTATCAATTTAACCTCTCATGACGGTCACGTGACGTACCGTAGTAACTAATAGTAACCGGTGTTGGTTATCTAAAGAGTACCTCTAGATATCTGACATGGCAACCTGGTGATAGATATTTAATTCTTTTAAATATATATATAATATTAAAGGTATATGTCTGCTGGTAAAGGTATAGATTAGTCGATGCATATAAGGAAGACTTTCATGAGTAGTCCTCATGAAGGTCTTTGTGGCGTTTTTTGGCAACCCCACTTGGGCTGTTATAGTTTGTAGTGGTGGCTACCATGCGTGTGTGGCGGCAGCTACTTGGTTATTCAATTTTCCATATATTATTGATTTTATGCTAAGAGCCCTGGTGTGGCTCTATTGATATTAATAAATTCAATGTCACGAATCCGATGGCCATTTTCATTCATATTGATGTCCGAGTTATCTATTCGGAAGCTGTACGACCTTAGATAATATCATCGTTCAATTTAAATGATTTTTTAAATCATCGAGAACTTCGCTGTAATCTAATAACCATGATCTCTGGAAATATAATCAAACATGTTTAATCCTGCTTAGTCAATAATTGTTAATAATAACCGCATTATAATAAAAATAGGTCCTAGTTAATTGGAAATACCAATACAGATTTGCCACACGTTAAAAGCAACATTGATTTGGTTAACAACATAACATGAACGAGTGTATAAATGCGTTTGTTCTTTTTGTCAATTTGTCATTATATTGATGGTTGTTTTACAATGTCTAGTAAAACAAGGCCATTTCCATCAATTTGTCGGTCTGCATAAATTTTATAATTACAACACAACAACAACCCTTGAACATCGATGATAAACATAAAAAAAGTGAATTATCGAAAAAAAAAAGATTTTACCTATATACAACTACAAACTAAGTCACTTTCTCAATAAATTTAATCAGGTTTTAATTTCCTGTTGGTAATATTTGTGTAACTGGAAAATATAGAAAGAAAAACAAGACAAATATCAGAATATATGCAGGTTTATATTTTGTTACAACTCTTTTGGGTTGTTTTTAAAATATATAGATGTACCTTTACCTTTTTAATTAATCACTAGATGTATGAAAAATAAGCAATTATTGAATATTTAATATGCCGTGTAGATGAAGAGGGAAAAACAAAGTTAACATGATTAACTGCACCACATCACCATGTCGTCTAATCATCATGATTGGGATGTAAAATATACATCGCGAACCAAGGGTTCGTATAATTAGTTTTCGTTTAGCCTATATGTGGTTATAAATGACAGCAATAAACACCACACTTTGCTTCACAATTTGTCACGTGCAACCTGTTTATCTGTTAGCAATGTGTTAATGAGTTTCTAGGTTAATTGAATACTTGGATGTGTCGTTTTAATATTTATGCTTTTCATTAAGATAACGATGACACGCTTACTCTGGTCATATCAACGAAGTGAGACATGTTTAAAAGGACAGAATAAGTGTAACTTATTGTCAACACTCCCCTTCTTGGTATTACTCACTTCAAGATTATTAACTTTTATTCAAGATAGCTATATTCTCGTGAGATCTTTATTGCGCAAACCATGTATATATCATTTATTTGTGAAAACTTGAATTCTCGATTCAGCTTATGCTATTTCAATTTTGTAAATCATTATTGGTGGAGTAATATTAACGGATAAAATTAATTTGCAAAGGAGTCGTTGTTAATAAACTCGAAAATATATATCCTGCTTTGTGTTTGTTTGTGTGAAGGTTTATTGTCCTCGCCACAGCTAAGGTCAAATGAGAACGGGTGCCATGACAGAGACATCGCTGGAAAGGAAAAGTAGATAGATGTGAAAGAAGACAGGAAAGATTGAAATCGAAAAGAGATTCCAGGTGATACAATGGGGGCAGAAGATCAATTTGGGTATCTTTCGTGTCCCCTCTGTGGAAGACACAGATGAAAACACCCGATTGTGTAGGGAGTCCCCTTATAAGTCGCCACTTACGATCCACATGCATTGGGATACATCAGGTATATTCTTGACTTTTTCTTCAACAGAATACATGAAAAAAACCATCACTGACTCTAACGGGGACACGCTAGTCGCCTCTTACGATCATGCAGATGGATATAGCTGTGGTGGGGGCGGGAGGGAGTGGGATGGTGGGGAGTAGAAAATATCTAGTTTTGTTTTATTCTGTTAAACGTAAATTTAGTATGTTTTTGTTTTTGTTTTTGTTTAACGTCCTATCTACAAGAAAAGGCAAAAAAATATCGATTGTGACCCCCCCCCCCCCCCTCCCATTATGTAGCTACAACCATATTATCGTGGGAGAGATGTGTTTCAGATTACAGTGAGCCTATGTCTTGGATCAAGGCAGTTAAGTGCATTTGCTCGAATGATGGACGTAATACAAACATTATGTGATAGCAAATGTAAAATTTGGTCAACGATACAGAATGCCAAATATAAATAACTCTGCGTCAAACAGCTGTTTCGTCCTTCGAACACTCATCAGTGCGTGTAGGGACCAAAAGGTTGGAAAACCAAATTAGGACAATATGGGTATTGAATTCCACTCACTATTCGTGCATATAAAGAGTTAGTAAACACATTTTTTGGAATCGTTGGCAGAATCCTGTTTGTATGTTTACAGGCATCCTGTCAAGCGGACAGAACTGACCATGTAGTAGTTTTATGACCGAGGTATTTACTTATAGCTAATGCGCGACTACAATCATTGTGAGTTCCGTCTCGCTTTTGACTCCGGAATAACCATAAAGTGACTAGAGTTCGGCACATATTTCGACATTAAGGACATATACAAAACCATTGTGGGACATGCCCAGTGATGTCAAATTGGGATAGCAAAGTCTCTTTAAGGGTATAGATACTTAAAACACAGGGCCTGTTCGTTTATGCGGAACAACCGGTCGTGGCGACAACAGAGGTTGGCTTTATAGAAAAATATTCTAACCGTGATAATAAATACTTGGCATCTTCGTAAAAATCTAAACCATAGAAATGGTGAATGTTGTACAGCTAGGGACAATGTGATTCGTAAGGAGGATACAAGATATTTACTTAATTTGCTCAGTCAGATAGCTTAGAGTACGTATGGATTGTGTTTATATGATATGGAACTCGAAACTTATTTTATTACGGCTATTGTTTGTTTCTTGTTTCTTTCATTTTGTTTAACGTCCTATTAACAGCTAAGGTCATTTAAGGACGGCCTCCCCTGTGTGCAAGATGCATGCGTGTAGTGTATGTGTATGTTCTTTGGGAGGCTGCGATATGTTTGTGTTTGTCTTCTTGTAATAGCGCGGAACTGATGCCGACTTTATAGTGCTACCTCACTGAAACATACTGCCGAAGACTCCCAGCAGGACGCCCCACCCGGTCACATTATACTGACAACGGGCGAACCAGTCGTCCCACTTCTAATTTGCTGAGCGTTAAGCAGGAGTAGAAACTGCCATTTTTAAAGACTTTGGTATGTCCCGGCCAGGGGACAGAACCCAAAGCCTTCCTCATAGGGGCGAACGCTCAACAAATGGCCAAAAGTGAGGCATTGTCAAGGGAGACATTAGGAAAAAGAAAGTTATTTAGAAAGGAGAGAAGAGATAAGGTCCCAAATTTAGTCGCCTCTTACGATCATGCAATTGGGGGCAGCAGGTACAATTCTTACGCCCTACCTGCACGGCTATTGTAATGAAGTGTAAGATTAATAAACATTTGATCTATGAAAATAAATCTATGAAGTTTTCTGTACCAGACAGAAAGTCACATGTAATCGATATATATGCCTAACTCTGTCAGAGTTATCTTTCGTTGTAAAGTAGATTTCACCAGAATGCCGCATACATCATTATAGTAGCGCCAAATTAAACAGGATACAATATTATACTGTAGAATAATTCTAACATTAACTTTATTTAATTTTTCAACAAGTATTAATCAAGTTTGTACAGCTTATATCAATACCACTCTTGTTGACCCAAATGTTAGCGTGCTGGGGGTCTTAGTGTGGGATGAAACTGAAGCACCTTGAGAACACTCACGTGATCGGACAGGTGATACGATCCCTTTTCACGTCAAATCGGGGAATCGAACCCCGGCCGCCTTGGTGAAAGGCAAGTGCGCATTCCCTGTGCCGACCGACCACCAAAGAATAGAATAATTATCGGTATGAATGTTAATTGTATACTGTTAACTTCAGTCAAGTTGATGTATTATTGTTTATAAATATGATTTATTGTTTTTGCATTGAAATATAAATATTAAAATAAATGCTTCTGCGTTGATTCTGTATATTTTGTGTGCATACACTAGACCATCGACTTAGAAGGACGTTGCTGGTTACTTTAGGTCGTTTAGCGTTGTACCTAGCAAACTGCTGACCTGCAGCTCCCTATCCATGGGTTACGCCTGAAATGGCTGAGATGATACAAGTCTTAATAAAGAACTAGATTTGTATACAATCCACATCGTCTTCTGCCCTTGGAAGGTAAATATACATACACATTGAACGACGACAATAAAGTCAGCCAGCAATAGTCATTCCATGACACAATTTGCATCAACGGTTACAATTTTATTGAATTTATTAACACCCAAACAAAAAAAAATGTAATGTTTTCCAAAAACGCCTGCATGTGAAAGATTTGGGTGGTAATGATCATTAACATTTTCCTTTTCTTTCTTTTTTTAAATTGTTTTTTATTAGTGATGATATTTTCAAAAACTTGCACAAGCTTTTTCTGGTTACCATCATAATATTATTGGAAAATATGAAAGTTTAATTTTATTAATTGTGCTTATCATTTCGTTGTCACTGACCTGGCTCTCGTATAAGGACAATACTTCGATTTTACCTAGGCCTACATGGCGGGTGTCGGCAATAAACCGTAGAAGCTTCCCCGCGGGGGGAAGAGTCTTAATGTGGTAGGAACCCGGAGTAGCCAGAGAAAACTTTTCACGTCGGATCGGGCAAGTGCGTTATCCGCTGTGCCACTCGACCACCCTGTAAATAAAAGTGTTTTTTTTACACAGGTTTTATTTGAATTAACATATACCAAAACCTCGCTGTCCATTTTAAGACAATATCGTGTGTTTGTTGTCACGCCTCTGTCTACATTCCTATACCCGTTTCATTGGTGCCAAATGTCTTCAGTTATTACTGTGTTGATGCGGTGACACTCACTATATAGCCGATGTAAAGCATTGCAAATTACGCTGTGCTCTGATGACTCCTCCTACCCTGTGCCCCGATGACTCCTACCTACGCTGTGCCCTGATGACTCCTCCTACCCTGTGCTCTGATGACTCCTCCTACGCTGTGCTCTGATGACTCCTCCTATCCTGTGCCCCGATGACTCCTACGCTGTACCCTGATGACTCCTCCTACCCTGTGCTCTGATGACTCCTACGCTGTGCTCTGATGACTCCTCCTACGCTGTGCTCTGATGACTCCTCCGCGTGTGTGCTGCTCAATAATTCATTCATTCAAGACTCTTGAACTGTATGTACATATTCTCCAACCAAGGACACACGTACCTGAATCCGACGACGACTGCGCCTTACTTCCAGAAATGAACTTCCAAACCAAATGTAAATTGTAGCACAAAAGTGTGTTAAACACTGTATTCACATTTCACATTTTCTGCGTAGTATTCACTGAGGTAAGGTATGTGGCTAAAAAAACAATCGTATTGTACCTTTTTCGAGTATTTTGTTTTTGCAATAACAATGGAGCAGTAACACAATAGGATGATACTTTTTTAAAGACAATTATTGCTTGTCTATGTACTACTACAATACTAACTATTTACTTCTCTATTATGGTAAAATATCTAACCAGGGTCTCTAACCATTATAATTTTATTCAATAATTTAGCATCTCTTTCATATGGCAAACCCATTACTCTCATTAATGTTTTAACATATAATGCTCGTATTCTATTGCATATCTCGTTTATCAACCTATACGTATTATATTTATCAGATATCATCTCCTCTGTTCAAAAAAGCATTTGGTATAATTCCAAATAGCACGACTGTCTATTGTAGTATTATGTACAAACCGAACATTATCATTGCTAATTCATCTTTATATAGAAGATTCGTTAATTAGCTACGAAATTCCTAGCCTCATTTAAATATCTCGCTGTCGAACACTTGGCAAGCAGCCATTTAAACCGATTGCACGTTAACTCGATAAAAACCATATTAGCCAAGGGTAAATTTCACCCATAACTACTATACAATGTTTGTTGTAAACTAATTTTAACCCACATAACAAATTCGCCCTCATTAGGGAGGAGCAAAAAAGGCGAAAGTTAAACTACAGCGAACATTTTCCTGTATTACGCTGAAAAGTATTTGATATCCTCTTTGATGATAACATATCGATACATCTTGTGTAAATAATGGTTTATGACTAAAAGGTATGTGATGTCTGTATGATTATCTGTAATTTATAACTATCTCTATTTCTTTAAAAAAAAACACATTACCTTTTCCCACAGAAATGACTATTCGGCTGCTGGTGTTGCCTACAAGAGTTTGTTTAACATGTATTATTTTCTGATGGCAACTGCCTAGCAAGATGAGGAAGTGGTTCCTTTTTTATCAAAAATGTAAATGTGTGGGTTGAATTGCATCTTATAGCAACTTTCATATTATGCTTCGCAGTTCCATTCAAAAACAATGTCTTCAAATATGCTGCTCTGCATAACATAAAATACTTTTAAATGGAACTGTGTTGTATACCATCATAAATGTTTAAAATATTTTTTTTAATTGGAAATTATTTTAAACAAACTCCAAGCTTTAAACAAGGTACAAAGTGCCAACTGGGCCAACAACAGTGACTATTATTAGGTGATATAATTTGTTTTGCAATTCTTGTAAAATGAATAAAGGTTGACTTTTTAATAAACAGTATATTCGTTTGGGTAAGTATTAACCTAATCATCAGTACTGATTTAGATGTTGATCCAATGACACTAGACGACAAGTATATGGTACATGTCTTTTGTTCCAGGGGCTGAAGACGCAGGCAAGCAAAAATATTGAAGAAAAGGCACATCAAATTGCTTGCAATACATAATATGTACCGAATATGACGACATCCATGTATATCCTGGATGGATACTTACTCTTCATCATGATTTGTTTGTTCCACGCGGACTAGCAAATAATACGTCTGTTTACGTAATGACATCTACCGATAAGTTATTATATCAGATGTAAAACTGAGGTTTCAAGATAACACCTTAACAATGACGAATGGAAGCTACCGACCTGTTATGACATATACATCAGAAGGATATATAGCAGCATAATGGTATGATTAAGTTTAGACAAAGCTAATGAACCGTTAGGATATCTATTCACTTGCAGGCAAAACACCTAGATATTTCCCGATGGTTTTTCGTATATTTAGTAGCATCCCCTTAATTTTGCTTTGGATAAAACTGTAACGCATTTTGGCCATATGGCTATATTTGACTGGGTAGCTCAGTTGGTAAAAGCGACAGTATAATAATTCCAGGTACAGGGAAGAAATCATGTATCATATATCTTCATTTATTTGTATATGTCTGATAAGTTTTTCCCCCATATTTTATGTTGCGTGTCAGCGCAAAACCAATTTCGGACCTGGCGCCTCAAGCATGTTGGCTGTTATTGCATTATCGGGCATAGCGCATACATGGCCCATTCTCCTTTCATGGTTTTGTGCCGTCTTAAACTTTTGATCAGCGGCAGATATGTTCAAAGTCTCCCAAGTTTATTTTAGATCATAATTTAAATATGTTATTGCAACATTTTCAAATAGTTCAAGAATTCAATATGGCCGCCATGACGTCTATGTCAAAATTAATATGGTCGTAACTTAAAAACTGTTGATTATACAGCATTCATGCAGTTTTATCATTTTCATTTAATCTTCGGGACAAACTATTTTTACTACATTCTATAACGAAAAAGTCAAATAAAAACCATAGCTGTTGGGTCAAAGATCACCAACTTTCAACTTTTAAAATTCAAAATTATTTAACATGTCGATAGAAAATGTTATCACAATGAATTTGATGTCATTTCGAATGTTTGCTTTGATCTTTTCAAAATGCTGGCAAAATCTTCAAACCTATTTTTCTTTGTCTTTGATGGGGATTTTTATTTTAACATGGTATTAAGGGTTTTCCCTAAATATTCTTTCATATTTTGTTACCTTTTTACTTTATTACAAATCTAAAATGGTCGCCACGACATCATATGTCGAAATCTTAAAAATAAATATCAAATTACTTAATTACAGTTTTTGGCAGTGATAATTGACTAAGTTGATCATATTTTCGCTCTTCTTCGTCAAAGGTAACTACAATCTCTTCTACATTGGCCAATTACCACGGTCTTACTCACTGCAGGACCAAATACTTCGGATCACTATTAAGCTTTTTTTCACACTTATCGGTTGTGATCTTTCACTTTCTTGACAGTTACAACCCTTCAACAGCAGGTGTTAATTACCTTTGAAATCTCCCAATGGTACCTAGGAAACTAAATCCAATGATCCTTCAAAGCCCTAGTTTATCAATCTTCAATTTCAATTACTTCAATATTTTCAGTTCCCTGTGCTTGATATCAGGCATCCGAATGTGGACCATGTAATCAAACAAAAATGAATCGATTACTCTTGTCAACTGCTAAATAGCAATGGTCTTATACAGGAGGCCAAAGTCCATGTGGCACTCGGTTCAAATGTATAGCGGCATAACGCTGCGCCGTGAAGGGGACTGTTTCACTTTTTGTCCCATTTGATGCTATCACTCACGGATTAGCTGTTGTGAGTTTGAATTGGCGATATTATCATAATCGGCAGAAGATATTCTATCAATTACTGGCGTAGAACAAATTGGTCGGAACATTCAATCAGAAAATAACAAGGCCCCAATTACATTTTAATCACTTTGTGAAGGCCGTAAGTGCTAAAGACTATTCATGCAATCATCATCTTTGTTTTCTAGTCAACGCTGCACTGCACATTTAAAATTGTCCCATAAAAGGTATCTTTCCAGAATTCACCCAAAGCAAAGGGGACTGTGACTTTGGCTTTTCAAAGTTGAGATATTTACCATTATGAAAGCTTACATTCAGAAGGCCATATTATTGAAAGAAATGACACAAAAGTAATTTTCCCTATTTTTTGATATTTTGCCGTCGATAAATTGAGTTTTTTGTAAATTTATACAGTAGTTTTATAGACTTTTGCTATTTTCATAATAGTTTTATTTTGTATTGTAGTCGATATTCACGTTCGTAATGATTTATACGATTTTTAGTAATACATCAAGAGACATTCATCATTTACTATTAAAGCGACAGAAAACTAAAAAAAACTCGGTTGACACCTACAGAAGATCATCCATTGCAGGTTGTCGGAATTCGGTTTCAATATATAGAACTGTACATCTGTTTGTAGATAAGTCAACACAAAGCAAATGAAAGCCGTTGACAAAAGATTTGATGTCGCGATGACGGAAGTGGGACATCAAGCCAATTAGCTGTACCAGGATGCACTGAATGCATAAGGTGGCATTACTGGGACTCTTCCTGGGACTAACCAGGATCGGAAGGACAACAAAAACTGTCAAGTTGTGTCATATCAATATTGATAATAATGGTTGCAATATTATTAAATTGTCTGTAGTTAATTGAAAATGTCAATAACGATTCGCCTCTTGTGAAAGCTAAAATGCAAATCAGCATTATTATAATCTTCATAACGCAAATGATTGACAAAACAAATTTAAGCTACTGAATTTTGTTAGAGTCGTAATTTGAAGTTATATTTAAAGTCATTATATGTAGATTAAACTATTTTCTATTCATATTTTCTGTTGGTAATAGTTACAACTAAATGAAATAACACAAAGAGACAGTAACAAAGTTTCAGCGTTAGTTTGAAATCCTCAAGCCCATTCCTGGTAAACTGACCCTGAGACTCCATATCCCAAAAAAATATACCTTGCTCTAATTGGGGTCTTCAAATATTACGTATATGAATGTTTAAATTTTATTTTGACCTGTTCAATGTAAGGCTGTTCTAAAAAGGACCTGTTACATAACGACTCTGCATATAGTCATCTTAAGATGTATTCTATAGCCCTGGTTTTTGTTTTTCAAAAAATTGAATACAACTGCAACAGATAACCTAAGCCGCATGTACATGTAACTAACACCAGCCTTAGATCAGTAACACTGTTGCTACTGACGCCATTTCCCACAATGTCCTCACATCGTTTGTTATTGTCAGCAACACAAGCGGCATAGGTCATCACATGCGCTATATAATGTTGTTCGTGGACGCCGTGTATCAGGTGTGCCATTGGCCCACGTGCATATATTCCAACGTCTTGTCCACCTTGAGAATCCTCAAAACGTGGAGTAGCGGCCACCTGGATGTACTCTTTATCAGCTGTAACAGACAGATAATGGATGATTATGTTTTCTTCTAGATGTGTGTCAATTGTAACATTTACCGTTAAATTCAAATGTATACAGGTACCACAGCCTCATCCCATGAGGTCACAATCAGAAGAAAAAAATACTCAATATGAGAAAAAAATATGAAGACAAATATTAGATACAAGTTAAAGAGAAGGATGTCATCCCCTGCATAAAAACCTAAATAATTTAAGAATGAAAAACCAGAAAAAAACATACATGCTAAGGCGTAGGAATTTTTTTTTTTCATTTTTCTCTTACAATCCCAGTCCCCCTGCATTATGTGTGTTTGTTCTCGTACACATGTACCTCTCCTTAATTCTAGTTATAGATAAGACTGCTTGGACATGCCAATTCTGTTGACCAGATAACTAAGTCGGTTAAAGCGATATAGCTTCTTGCAATACTGGATGCATAAGTATGTATTATACGCACTGGTATCTGCAGCATGCACATCGGTTCTATTTCCCGAGCCGTAACCTGGACCATTGCCATATAGGAGGGTAGTGAAATGACTTTTGTTAACGTAATGAACACATATCGTCTTTCTGGATACCAATCGTTATTGTTCGTGTATTGTAAATGATTTTCATCCTTTTTTTTTTTTTTTTTTTATATATATATACCGAAGAGATTGTTGCCTGGTAGTACTACTTATTTAGATCCTATCTGTATTTCCACTTTTCTTGTTGGTCAGACCTATTTGTTTTTCCACTTTTGTTGTTGTTTAGACTGTATCTATTAACAACATTTTATAGATGCAATTACATGTGTCTGACTTACGTTTATCTTATACATGAATTCTTGACATACCAAAAATAGTGTTGCCTCGTTTTGGGTAGCCGGCCAGGTTGACGACGTGGGCGTGGTCAGATGTTACTATGATGAGTGTATCATTTTCGTCTGTCATTTCAGTGGCAATTTTTACAGCGTCTTCAAACGCCAAAGCATCAAACAGGGCGCGTTTGGCGTTGTTTCCATGGTGACCATGGTCTATTCGACATCCTGAAGGCAATTCAAAAGGATATTAAAACAATTGAACACAAAGATTTCCATTATTGGAATTTACCAAGAATACAGAAGAAATAAATTGTGCTCTAGAAGAAGAAAAAAATCTGCAAATTAATAATCAAGCGTAGTGAGTTTGAATTTCAAATTGGGAGGTTTAGGGACGAAAAAAAACAAAGTCGTTCGGCGTCTTATGACAATTTTCATACAGCTTAATAACAAATTATCTAGCATAAATTGTAGATAAAAGTAGTGAGGGTATTCCAAACCTTCTACTAATAGAAAGAAGCCATTTTTTTTCTTTCTGAAGAACCCGGATGGCTTTCTGTGTCATTACCGCCAGAGACGGTTCTCCGGTTGGACCTTTGTTTCGGTCTAAATCATACTGCATGTGGTTCGCCTCAAATAACCATGCATTTGATAAATAAGAACTTATGGAATTGACAACAATGCTGCATCTAACAATTGCTCAATCATTCTTTTTTATTTTTTTATTTTAACGTCTCCGCAGTTCTCAAAATTTCATAAAGATGATAAAACATTTTTAAACAGTGTCCACACTGCAATGCCATAGCAAAGGGACGGAACGTAAGATGTGTATAAGTTGCATAAACGTGCAGTTAGTCACACAATGGTGTGTTAGTGGGTTACCAAGTCAACTCACCAAGTATGTAGTCAGTGTCTGATGGCTCTCCTTGTCCTCTTTCCTAACCTTGAAAACAATACTTTTTAATTAGTTAAAAGAACCGCTACTTCTGTTAAAACCAATTGTTATCTGTACGGAATGATGAATTTGCTTGTTGTCATGTACTGCTTAAAAAGCCTATATCTTGTACAGTTGTTCAATTTTGCACAATTTCTGAGACGGGAAAATACGATAATTAAAGACTTTAGTAATCAGTTGCCATTCTTTTAAGGATTCCCATACCACTGCCTAAACTGTAACAAAGTATTGAAAACACAACGATAGCTTTAATTAACAATGTTTGGAAAAACATCATACATGTACCTAGCGGGACTGTGCTAGTAATATCCAAACGGAAGTGAAAGGAACGTTACTGTGCATACGTAAAACTACATTTTATTTGAATAGGGACCTTTACATTTTTAACTATCCGCCAGGAACTTCAACGATAGGTCAGTCTGCAGTCCGGCTATTTTGATTGGCTAGCATGTACAGTGTATAACTGCAACGGCGATTTTCCTTCCCAAATTAATGTTCGATAACCTTTGCTATAAATTCAAATTTGTATTGCTTACGAATGCTCTTGTCTAGCTTACTTTTGATTGGCTACCTTTCAAAAAAGCAACTCTTTCGAACAAGGAAAATAATTTTAAACTTTTGGTTTCTTAAAGACAGACGTTCGACGATTCCGGTCGTTTTCACGTGAAATACATCAATGCGTTAAATATAATGAATGCTTCACAATCAACATATCTGCTTCATCTCAAAGCACAAACAAACAGGTATTCCGAAATGGTGACCAATCTAACGGTTCTACAATTGAATAAACCAAAGATCACTCGATTGGTCGGAATCCTACGAGTGGGTGTTGATAACCACGATTATCTAACTTGATACTCCAGTAAAATATATATTGTTATTTGGTTTAGTATACTTTTGGTCGGCATACACGTAAACAATTACAGTCACCTCACGCCGCTTGTGTATCATCACAAATTGTTTTCGTCAAAAATTTGCAGGATTGCTCATTGATAACAGGAACTACCGCTATACCACTTAAAAAATAACTCAATAACAATCTCGTACATCTATTAGATTGACATGATCCAGTCGTTGTTTACCAGAATTCGTATGGTTCAATTCTGGGTCAGAATCATTTCTTCCAAGGAAAAACTGCCGACCTCCGTCTAGTTTTACCTACCAATATATAAGCATTGGCAATATTTATAATATAAAATATAACATATTATATATAATGAAATTGTTTTATATACTTAGGGTGTTTCTTAAAAATCCATATTCCTTAATGATTCATCTGATTTTATAAGAGAAAAATATGTGTCAAAAACCATGTTAACTATTACATGTCAAAGATAAAAATGCTTAGAATATGGTTCTTGATTAAGCATTAAACTGCCTTATATGGAAAGTTATTGCCCTATAACTCTCGCTAATGCGCGCTATTCAATTTGTCTGCAATCCTGTGAGAATTATAGGACAATAACTTTCCAAAGCAGGCAGTTTAATGGTTATATTTCCGTTTTTAATTTAAGTTTTCCTTATATTTCCAACCTGTTGACGAATTTTAAAGTCAGTTTTCGCGCTGTCTGTAAATCGGACCTCTTCTTGTGACGTCACGAGTACACGCAACCGTTCCCGGCAAAAATATAGTTCGTGGAAATAAACACAAAATCATCAATTTATTTTCAACAATTTAATCAATATATTCAACCGTGAGGATATTCCCGTTTTATACAACATAACTATAAAATTGTTGCGAGTTACATTGATCAATAAAGGTTTTTTTGTCCGGTAGCACAGATGGGTTCACACGAGGAAATGCGTGTTGCGACATTTTTTTTCGTGACGTCAAGAATACACTTAATAAGTAACGTTGGTCAAAGCGACGTCATTTAGTCACGACAGCACGAACATGTTCTTCATATCACTACACCAATGCGAATTATGTGAGAAATATGATATGATGTCTTTCTATTTTGTTTGGTAAGGTTATATAGTGGTAATGCAGAGCAAAAGGAAATATTGTATTTTGAGTTTTATTACACTCGATATGTGATGGCGATTCTTTTAAATCCAAAAACACACGCCTTTTTTGTTCAATTCAAATAATTGCCAAAATTGATTGGCAGTTAGCGAAACGCACAGTGCACAAAACATTATACTGACAGTTATAACACTATTGTGGATGAGTTAGTATAGATTTTAATAAAGCTGTTTTCTTGAGTCTTGATATAAAAGTTAGTTTGGACGAGGTGGTTTACTACGATTTTACTTACAGTGTACAAAAACCTTTGTGAACGTGTTGACATAACATCCTTGACATTGAACACGACGTGGAAGTATTCTTACTGTGACAGTGTATTATGCACGAGTTTGCGTACTAAAGTTAACCGTTGATGTGGACGAGTTGGGAAACTTAATATGACACAATAGTTGTGTTAGAAGAACTTGCTATGGTCGGAATTTTTGTAATATACTGTACCTTCATATATCTTCCTCTCTGAGACGACATGGCCTATCGTATTTTGACAACAACCGTTGTTCTGACGAAATTGATATTCGTCAGTGATATCTGTTGTTGTGGACGAGCATGTATACGTACTCACCTTGACGAAACTGTTGTTGTAGATGAGTTGGAAGGCGATATCTGTTCAACCTCCAGTCACGCCCACCATATCTCCGTCCACCTCCCAGTTACGCGACACCGATTTGGCGTACGCTGATGCAGGTGTGGCGTGTGTGATTCTTGCTCTAGTATCAACGCCAACTGAGCGACCTGTAAACAACATGGCAAAATATATTCAGCCAGACGAAGATGAACTTCAGGTCTTGTTTTGGAGTGAAAAATCATAGGAAATATATTGACAGATAATACGACCACTCGGTGGTAAATCTAAAATGTCCAATTTGCGATACTATCATTTGACACTTGGCTTGATAACATATTTCTTTTACATAATCTTGGAACAAATCTGCATGATCATCAGGAAGACCTAGCAGTAGATTGACTACATAAAAATTGAAATTTTCAAGTGATTTGTGCTACATCAATAATATGTCTTCATACAGTATTCGGGACATTAAGATTCATTATCTTAATTGTAGAACAAATATTATACTGCGAAATAGGAACAGTTTTGTCACTCTGATATCATGCCTTAATCGTTAGAGGACGTTCATAATTTGCTTCCATCATTTACAAAGGAATGTATTACATGTAAGCAAATGAAAATGAAAATGAAACAAAACATTAAAAACAGCAGTTTTATAATCAGCTCGAAACCATTCAAATGCGCATGGAATTTTGTTTCCGTGTTGACTTGCGCACTGACCATCTCTGTCTTGATCAAACGAAATTTTGTTTTCTCTCCGCATAGAAGGGCTGTCGCTGAAACGTCAGAATCGGTTGTCTGCCTGTCCTGTGAGTACGTCTACCAGTAAATGAGACAAACATATAGCAAAGCTTTATCACAATAGTCAAATCGGTATTTTAATTCTATCTATCTATCCGTAAATACTCCAACGCCCTCTTTCGAGTACTTTGTGCGTTTCGGCGGGAACGCGTTTGTGATATTTACGTTACAGGTTCAAACATACGTCATTTGACAGAGGTTGCAACACCAGATATGAGAATGTACACAGATGTTTAACCACTGGTGAGGGGCATCGTTTAGATGTTACGGATATGTTTGGGGTTTGGAAAATATAGTGTAAACATGTTAAAATATAGGACGATATGATGCAAGTATTATTTTCAAAATTCAAAAAAATGGTTTGAATAGTACTTTGAAATGTGTGTTTTTTCCTCTGATGGGATTACAAAAGAGATATCTATCAGCTTTTTTCACAAAACAGTTTTGTTTTCACAATATTTTAAGAGTACAAAATGACTTCAAAGCGAACATGTCAAAAAAAAAAGAAAACTACACGTAAATCGACGAAATTGTGGAGGATTTTTAAGGGGTTAATTAAAAGCAAGTTTAATTGTTGAGTTCTGGTGCTTATCACCGGATAAGATAATAGAGGATATACATTTATACAACTGTAGATCAGTATGGTATCAATAGAAACAATATTTTTGTTGCAATTGGCACATAATAGTGTTCTATTTTTAGAAAACAAATTACTTTGAATATAAACTTTTCATGATTGTAGTATACACTTGATCCCACCAAAACACGTTACGTTATTATATTGATGGTATTTCAATATTGTATTAAAAATGCTGTTTATGTGTTGTATCAATAAATTGACTTCAGCTTCATTTAAATGTCTCCATGAAAGGACGTCACTTGCGTTTATCAAGCGTACGTAAAACTCAAGTTCGCAGAATCAATATTGTTTGATAAAAGCCTAGGCCTTGACCACAGCCCAACAAAGAAGTCCAACGTTTGAAGCTGCTGACTTCAATGTCTCACTCTGTTCTCCAACTGATATCAGAGTAGCTCATTGTGATTGCGATAAAGAGATCACGATGACAGATCAAGCACAGTGATGTTGTGTTTACAAAAGCATCCATGGTGACGCTGTCGACAAGAGCACATGCATTATCTTTCTGTATCGTGCCGCCATTTGTTCCTTGAAATAAATAGCATATGGTACCGAGATCTGGTCCCCGTAACGTTTAGCGTTCAGGCTACGGTCGACGATCACAAGGTCTGTGCGTCCATTGTCGGATATTCCACCCCAAATATTGACGATACCACCGCCAAAACGACCATTACGTAAGGAACAGCCGCCAAATTCGTGACTTTAAACCTACTCACTTCAAAGCCTGGATATGGTTATTCTGGTCACACCAAACCGCCGGGCAACGCCAGCGTACCTGTCATCAAGCCATGGTATGACTGATTTGGCTTGGACACCGACAGCATTTTTTTGTACTCACTAACACGATGCACCGACATAAAAAACGAGTCCTTGACACATTTTGTGTACACAGTACAAGTACAAAACATTTTGCACGTGTACCAAGCACAATGCTGAAGTTCACTGATTTTTGCCGACGCTTACATGATTAAATTCAATCAATAATATACAACTTTAACGTCCTTATTATATCAGATGTTATGAACATGCCATATATAAAATAATGTAACCTTTCTCTCAGTGGGAAGTATATATTGATGTAGCGTAATGCATACATTTGGCGATTGTCGTAGCTGAAAAACGCAAATCACAAATAATACACATTCGTTTTAGTTAAAACAAAAAATAAAAACACTGCAGATACACAAGAATGAATTCTTAGTCAAGGTCCAATCTAAAAGATCGGATACAGTAAATTAACAATTGGGACAACATAACAAAGGAACTAACTAACCAATCGACAGCGAAAATAGATAATCGATAGAGTAGACAAATGGTGACAAACATAATTATACTAATTAATCTGAAACTTTGTTTTAGCATATTTCTGTAAGCTCAGTTGTACAGTGTTTAACATAGTAAAATGGTCAGGAAGTATTTATATGGTACACAATGCTCTTCCTTACACAAATATAAACGACCTGCCTGTTTGTACACCAAGACAGAGTTAAGATACATAAGTATTTACCTGTACATTAACGTTTACAATGGTAACACATGCGTGCGTAAACAGACTTGCTTCCCCTTGCTACACTTTGGCCTTAATTGTTTTCGTCCGGAAGTAGATGTTCAGTGGGGAAACAGGAAATGTATCCTTGAGGCAAAGACAATTGTGTTTCAACAAATACATGAACATTTTCATATAGTGAAAACAATCTTCATGGTTTTTTTTGGTTTTTTTTATTTAGATAAAAACTAATATACATTCTGAGTGAAAAAAGTCCATCACATAAAATGTGATACAATCAGGCATGAAACTTCGTTCAGAGATTAGCATACTATGACGTCACAAACACATCCATATTAAACATAAAGCCTTAGCAGACTTCATGCAATATGGATGAAACCGATGTGCGTTCATGCCGGCATGAAAATTACAAAAACGCCGGTCAATCCATTTTGATACTAAAAGTCTACATACGGAAGACCGGGGCAGGTTCCGCCACCACTGATATTTTTGTTTTTAAGCTACATGTAATATTTACAACTTTAAAGATCTTAGCAATTTAGTTGGCTGAACATTCACTTTTTCATATGATTATTGATGGAGAAATATTCAATAGAAAACGAAATTAAGAAATACCTTTTAATATTTCAGCGTTATGACACAGAAAGGCAAACAAAGTATGTTTACTGCAACATGTGAAGACATTAGCAAAAGCGTATTAAAACCCTTTATAACGTTATGTTACACATTTACAATTATTCGGCGCAACAGTTATGTAATCATAAAATAAATCCTTTTAAAATAAATTATAAATTCAAGTTACAAGATTAAGGCCGAAACCGGTCAGTGTCAACTACCTTGAATCACAGGAATATCCTTTTTTTTTTAAATGTTATGTCACCTTAATTATACGTAACTCACTGACCAACGACATGTAGTCCATATACTAGTAACACCACACACATCCACAAAAGAATCATATTTGATATCGCTGCTGACAACTATGACAAAAAATGAAACCTTCTGCAGTAAACTCCAAGGACGTGTTTCTCTATCCCTTGTACATGCAGACTTTATAAGCATTGTTAGTTACATGTAACGTCTGGTCAGGTTTAACACTCATGCACAGAGTGTCAGTTGACCTAGTTAGGTATGAGGTAACATACGAAAGACTTGTTTCCATTGATCCTATTTCGCCCTAGTTACACCGATTTTTAGTTTCAATAACTTAAATGTTCTTTTGTTCGGTGCTTGATATCAGGCAATCGAACAGTTTACCAATATTTTGACTGATGATATAATATTCACATGATTGTAAATACAGGGTATCACCTGCATGAATACGTGATACAAATGACCTTTTCATTCTGAAAGATACCCAACAGCATCATGTCAGTTATTCAAAATTGGACGCCCAATAGTATGCAGGAGAAAATTCAATCCGGTGTTTCAGGATTGAACAAGAATTGAGACTACATAATATAACGACGATCTCAGTTACATCAAAGTATTACAATGTTTTCTTTCCTATATTTTTCTTAAGGTATTACATGTAGGTAGCATACGAACGACTTTTTCCACTGATCCTATTTTGCCCTTGTTACATCGATTTTTAGTTTCAATAACTGACATATTCTTTTTTAAAGTGCTTGATATCAGGCATTCGAACAGTTGACCTGTATTTTAACTGATGATATAATATTCACATGATTGTTTATACAGGGTATCCCCTGCATGAATACGTGATACAAATGCCCTTTTCATCATCATCATCATCATCATATCATCATCATCATCAAATAATTATCATCATCATCATCATCATCATCATCATCATCATCATCATCATCATATCATCATCATCATCATCATCATCATCATCATCATCATCATCATCATCATATCATCATCATATCATCATCATCATCATCATATCATCATCATCATCATGTCAGCGATTCAAAATCGGAAGCCTAACAGTATGCAGGAGGAAATATAAAATGTTTAAAGGAAGTATTCATCGTTTCTGTGCATGATCAGGAATTCCTGAAATTGCTGAAAGTTGAACAAACCAAAATTAATCGGGTTTTTTCGTGATTATTAATCCCTGAATAAGAACAACACCAGTGAGTAGAAATTACGCCATCGTGGATTATTGCAGTGTACTTTGCAAATTGGTTTATTTACGGAAAAAAAGCATGCAGTCTTAACTTTACGTTGGTTTGCTTAACAGAACTAGTTTAGCCCTGAAGTAATAAGATCTATGTCTGCACGTCACGCAGTTCATTTGATTGTTTCGTATCATGTTTATCAAGATTTTCTTGTCAACAATATTACTTAAAAACCTTATCACGTTGTCATCTGTCTCGTCGCTTTGTGTGTTATTCTATTGCGCCAGGTTATACAACCCATTGTCAAACACCGTTTACGTAAGAGTCGTACCATGTGACGTATTCTGAATACAATTGCTTTTGACATGATGTTTTTGTTATTGTTTTCGTGACAATTGGTACAAAGCACACACAGGCATGAAGATGACGGGTGTTGTATTTGTAGCGTTCTACATGAGGTGATAAACTTACTGTGAACCGAAACATTTTCGCTGTTGTTTAATTTTTGCCTTATAAGATTTGTAAACAATATAATAATATGCATAATAAGTAAATGTAAAGGGCGAATATAATTTTGAGCGCAATGGTATTTACCGTCGAAAATTTGATTGGGCGAATATTTCCCGGTATACTGTAATTTTAAATATTTTTCTTATTTTTCATGATATGTGCTTGAGATGTTAAACAGTAGAGCTACCGAAATGTTATCAAAACTTCAGTCGATGAAACTGGAGCAAACAAAGAAACACAGGTGATTGCACATAATAACATTGGTAATAGGTACAATATGCAAAAAATAAATTATCACTGTTACAGCTAGTTCGTCCTGATGAAGAAGGGAAATGTGACCAGGTGGACTGGGAGTCTAATTTTCCACCTTTTCACCCTCGACACCCATTATACTGAAAATACTTGAAAATCCTACATTTTTGGGTGCGGATAACTATATCAAATGCAGTCCACATATTATTTATTTTCATTTTCTTGTGTATCTTTTATTTAAGCACTTACTATTGATATAGTTGCATGCCGTTTACGTAAATGTTATGTTAAAAGTTACATAGATACGTCAACATCTTTCATATTAGCTGTATACTGAAATCGTAGGAGACAGCTCTCAAGGAAGGGAAATGTGGTCGTTGGTAAATAAGGCATAACATGCTCACCTATATGGCAGGTGCTGAGTACAAACAGAACGCGAATATGTCCACCGCACTGCAGAGTAGGAGTACATTCCTGCTGTCCTGACAAAAGGCTAACGTTCATTGTATTTACTGTTACAAATTAAACACCCCTTCAAAATATATATCAAACTGGGCTCATCGTAGGCAATTATTAAATCAAAACATAACAATGAAGATAAACATTGATCACATTGGTTTAATCTAGTTGCTTAAATGGCATTTATTTAGATATTATCGAATATCCATTGTTTAATTATATGATATGAAAATATTTTGGCAAATGTTTAACTTTGAGTTAAACATTGTAGGATATAAGTTTTATATTTTCAGATAGTTAACTATTTAATTGAATATTTGTGTCATTGTCCTAAGTAAAAATTTCTAATAAACAAATACCCTTTGGTTGCTCGTATAAGCTGAAGTAAAGATTCAATCCAAGCTAGTGAGTATGGATCTAGGTTTAAACAACAACGCAAAAATATGTAAAACACCGTGGACTATGTTGATTATACAGGTATTTACACAAAATCAATACGTTAATAAGTAAACAATACTTTACTGATTGATTTTTTTTTTTATTAATAATGATATATTTTAATTTTGCATCGTATACAGTATATAAATAAACACACCAGATACTTTTCATAATCATAATTAAACATTTATATCACACATATATAAAAATGAAAATCAGGTTACAAAAAATCTATAAAATCATAATTAAACATACACACATTTCTATCACACATATATAAAGAATAAATCACATTGCAAAATGTCCTCATCAACTTTTCTTCTGAGATGAATTGATGAAAAGGAAACATATAAGTGCTCCTGCTGATAATATGTGTATATGAAAGCCCACAGATCTGCGAAATTAAAATGAAAATACAAAAAATTATAATGATAACGATGTATTTTATTATACTGTAATATTATAAATTTAAAAAAAAACGGATTTTTTAATAATCTGAATCGATTACGTTTTTGTTTGATATGGAATCTGATTTCGTATTTCTTACGATGTTGTTATTAGTTCCTTTGATGTTTTGCTGACGTAATATTAAGTTCTCTCTACATATCTGAACAGCGTGATACTAGCCGTGAAATCTCCTTATTTCTTATATGATTTGTATCGATGTATTGTTTAGTTTGATATGGTATATCATACATTTGTATATACAATTCATTAGATTTTGCTTTTGTCTGTCACAAGGATGTTTAAACTACTTCACAATGCTCTACTTACATGAGTAGTTTGATGCTGGCTGTGAACTCTAATAAACAGAATGGTGACATCAGGTAACCTCCAGCAAGTCTTGTAGCAATAAATGTTACAGAATCGTAAAAAATCCTTTTGGCCTCAGATGTCTGGAAATGATGGCGGACATTTCTCCGCATCTGAAATGATAATGTTTCGTATTTTATGAATTTGTTTAATAACAATTTCTCTGACATATGGTCTTGAAAAAACAAACACTAATGGAAAAACTTTTAAAATGAGATTGTAAACCACCATGGAAGATAATTAGTAAAAGAGTTGAACACTGTGAAATTCCTCATTTTCGTCGAGCTTTTAATTGCATTATTTTGGTGAGTAATCTTCATACACGAATTAAAAGGTCAAAGAATCAATTTAAAGTTTTATATAAAGCAATTCTTCGTTTGAGTGTGTACTCGTTATCCGTGAATTAATGTACCAAGAAAATGGTGTTTTGTCAGAAACCGAAAAATTTAGGCGCCGCGAAAATATCTGATTTCACAGGAATTAGATAAAGAAAGGGAGGAAACAACAAAGGAATACCTCTTAAGCAAATCACATGATCTTAAGGTAAAAATGTCTATATGAATATGGTAAGGGTTACAAGGCGATTATTTCTAAAGTGATCTGATACGGTCTGGATTTTGTTTTTACTCGAGAACCTTTTTCATTGTTAAATGGCAAAGGTCTGTTTCTATGATGGCTATGGACCAAACGATGTATACCAGACCCTGTGACTGCTAACTAAAGAATGATTTGGATAGAAGTATTCGCTTGCCTCAGACCAAAGTTGATTTCACTTAATGTTCTACCAAAGACTATATTAAATTGTCCTAGAAATCCTCTTGAGACCAGGGCCCGTGTTCATGACTAACATTCTTGTAATTCGCTTAAATGGTGGGATGTAGTAAAAATATTTAGTTTTAACATTGAAAATATTCGATACTCGGTTTCAGATCTTTCGAAAATGCTCCTGATTTATTGACTAAATGCTATGTTTGGTATATTTATCAGCGGAAAAAGAAATAAGGTTAAGGCATAAAATACCAGTTTAGGCACAATAAATGGTTCAGGCCCTATCTATAAATGTTTTGTTCAACTATCCCTGGCACTTTAAAGTATTTCCTTACCGTGGTTTTTGGAAGATATTTTTATGAATGTTATGATAACCCCTTTCAAATATAACATGACGTTGAATTTCAGGTTCTCTGGCCTAAAAACATTCAGCGTCCTTTTATGAAATAAATTTTACTCAAACCACATGCATCCTTAAGCAAATGAAAAAAAACTTTATTTCAGTATAACATTTTATTCAAAGAATCAATTACAACTATGAAATCATTCGTTTTCGTGAGTATTTTAATTTCGTTGATTTCGTGGGTAATCTTCATTCACAAATTCATAGGTCAACACATTAATGTGCATCTTCCCATGAAATGTTGTGTTGTCAGGAAATCGAGAAATCTAGGCCCCACGAAAAATTACTGATTTCACAATAAACAACAAAAATTTCAGAAAGGCACTATATTAGTGTAAAATAAACCCGAGTCAATATATGCACTAAGCTAACTACTACTTTTACAAAACAGGGTACATACCTTTCTCGCAGCCATGACGGCTAATGCCGTGGAGACGAATGTGACGTAATATCCGGGATACAATCCGTGCCAGACACTACTACATGCAAACACTGCCATCGTTTTGACGGAGGGCGGGGCTCGTTCGTATATCACACGCCGTAACCACACAACAGTATTTAAATTCCATGAATCTATAAACACTTTCAAACTTGTAGATGTCTGCAAAACAAACAAACGTACATACGCCAAAATTCGAAGACAAAATGGATACTAACGACACCACGAATGATATGGTAAAAATTCATCAATAACACACTACCCCTTCCACTTAAATTCCATCCCAAACCAAAAAAGAAACAAATGAGTCTATGAATTAAGAAAGAGGGTACGCTTTCCTTAATGGATTTCGATCTAGTGATGACGAACAAACTTTCATTTGTCAATGTTGTTTCCCTGAAGTTTCCTTGCTTGACAATCTCTTGTTTTCCCCTTACCAGTTACAATTTGACAGATAAAGTATACCTTTCCGTAGCATTCAGTTAGGTCACAAAGGAAATTTGACAAGTTTGAAGTCCGTAAAAGACATTAGCCTTAATGCCTTATGATTGACTACGATAACCTCGCTACATGTATGTACCATTTCAATAGGTTATGTAAAAGTTAATACATTCCAACTACATATATGGATTCCGATTTTGAATTGAAATCTCTGGAAACATGACGTATCAGGGAGTTGAAATTTTGGATGACTACAGCGTCTTTTAATGGGTATGTTTAACCTTAAGATGTTTGTTTAAGGATGTACACCTCTGAGAAGTCAAAAAATTCCTGTAATAAACTTTTTTTCTTTTATTGATTTTTGGAAAAAGGAGATAATGGCATAGTGGAAAATGCAAAAATAAATATATGTTCGTGTGTTCGTTTTTGCGCTATGATCGGTCAAAGAAACCAATATAACACAATAGGTGATTTTAGGTGAATATTCGGGTTTTGACCATTTGCAGAACAAATTCATACAATTTCTTCCAAGTGTGTTACCAGATATGTATGAATGTTTGTAGAATTGATAAAAATATTATTGTCTTTGACACTATGGAAGTAACATTTCTTAATCTTATTCATTTTACTCAGAAATGCGATTTAAGTTACCCCTACCCCTTATTTTTTAATGAAAAAATACACATTTTTTCACCATTTTTTGCAGATTAAACGCTTGATATAACAAAATTCTGTATTAAACTTTTTTAAGTATTCAATGAATCAAAATAAAATGTGTTTCTCTTTCTAAAACAGCCAAAAAAATGGGCGGTCGGTGTGCTTCTTTTTTTTGTCCCATTATTATTTGTGTTATTTTTCACCTTTTTCGGGGTCAAAAATCAAAAGTGCTTCAGTTACCCTAATATGTAAAAAAAAATACCAATAATATATAACTTTCCAATTTTTTGCATATTATTTTAATCATATTGAACATTATAAAGTTGTACAGCAAAATTGAACCAGCTACATTTAACAATGGTGACACACTGACAATTTAAGTGATCAATCTAGTGTCAAAAAAGGTGAAATTTTGCTTTTTGTGAAGCGCAAGAAATTCACATAAATACACTTTTTCAAAATGGCCGCCAAATTGGTCGTTTTTTTCAAATTCTTGTAAAAAATGTTCTACACACAACAGACATCTAGTTTTTTGACATGTTTTTCAGATGTGTGTTTGCTATTAAACCTTTCATAATTTGTTCAATATTACAAAAACCCGCTACACCAGATCAAAACGAGACCTGAACGTGACTGAAACCTCAGAAGAGTACATCCTTAATTATATTACAGTTTCAATAGCATTGAATTTCATCAGAGAAATGTCGTGATACATGTATACACTATTATTATGCGTATAGCTATATAAAAAAAATTCATCTTTATTATCAAGAGCTAATGTACAACATGATAAATAATATTTGTAGCAATTTCCATTTGGCATATGCGCAATCCATAACATAATATTGATGTTTCTTTTATACAGTATATCGTCGATGCGTACATCGTAAAACCTTCTTACTGTTACATCTAATAGAGAACGAGTGTAAACGTTGTTTAGCACATGTGTATATCTTGTATGATACGAGTATATTTATAGAATAGTAAGAGCGTATGATGGGAATATCGTGTGGGGTACATGTGTATCTATAGTACTACAGTACGTGTGTATCTATAGTACTACAGTACGTGTGTATCTATAGTACTACAGTACGTGTGTATTTGAGTACTACAGTACGTATGTATCTATAATACTACAGTACGTGTGTATCTATAGTACTACAGTACGTGTGTATATATAGTAAATGTACTACAGTACGTGTGTATCTATAGTACTACAATACGTGTGTATCTATAGTACTACAGTACGTTTGTATCTATAGTACTACAGTACGTGTGTATCGATAGTACTACAGTACGTGTGTATCTATAGTACTACCGTACGTGTGTATCTATAGTACTACAGTACGTGTGTATATATAGTACTACAGTACGTGTGTATCTATAGAACTACAGAACGTGTGTATCTATAGTACTACAGTACGTTTGTATCTATAGTACTACAGTACGTGTGTATCGATAGTACTACAGTACGTGTGTATCTATAGTACTACCGTACGTGTGTATCTATAGTACTACAGTACGTGTGTATCTATAGTACAACAGTACTTGTGTATCTATAGTACTACAGTTCGTGTGTATCTATAGTACAACAGTACGTGTGTATCTATAGTACTACAGTTCGTGTGTATCTATAGAACTACAGTACGTGTGTATCTATAGTACTACAGTACGGGTGTATATATAGTACATGTACTACAGTACGTGTGTATCTATAGTACTACAGTTCGTGTGTATCTTAATACTACAGTACGTGTGTATCTATAGTACTACAGTACGTGTGTATCGATAGTACTACAGTACGTGTGTATCTATAGTACTACCGTACGTGTGTATCTATAGTACTACAGTACGTGTGTATATATAGTACTACAGTACGTGTGTATCTATAGAACTACAGAACGTGTGTATCTATAGTACTACAGTACGTGTGTATCTATAGAACTACAGTACGTGTGTATCTATAGTACTACAGTACGTGTGTATCTATAGTACTACAGTACGTTTGTATTCATATTATGGTACTTGTGTAACTTAGTAGATTATGTGTGTACACTTGTACGATATGGGTGTATTTAATAGTGTAGTACGTGTGTATTCATAGTAGAACAAGTGTATAAATAGTATAGTACGTGTGTATTTATAATATAAAACGTGAGCATGTTTTATTTTTACGTTTTGTGTGTATTTATAGTGTACACTGTACTAATAGTATAGAACGTGTGTATTTATGATATAGTACATGTGTATTTCTGGTATAGTACGTTCGTTGGTATATTACGTACGTTTACTTATATCTTTTAAACTGCGTGTATATATCTGACTTCGTTAATCACCCTTTGCACATGTTACATCAGACGGGTATGAATGGTACTTAAGTACGTGTATACTCGTTAGATGATCAAAAAGTAGATGGATATCGCCTTCTCTTACATGGTTGTAATACAAAAAACGATTGATGACAGGGATTCTGTTTAACCATTGATTATCTTTTTGGTATATCTTAAATGATGTTGTTGTTTGAAGCCATTGAAGATGCTAACCGCTTGTTGCGGTTGTGCGATGTTACAGCAACTTACAGCAATTGAATAGCTAATTCATATGGTAATAAAATAATTGAAATATACATCCTTTTGTCTCCTAGGTAAATTTACCTCTAACTTCCATATACTGATATTAGTCAGCAAATCCCATTTCTCCTTGCCTTCCTCATCGTATCCTCTGAATCCAAGCCCTGCTCCAAGATTGGACAGTTCACCTGATAATACAATTTGAGTTATGAAATCTCTTTGCGTATACTGCGTTTCTTTCACTCCAGCAGATATGAGGTTTTAGAAATATCAGTATTAGTGCTAAGCCAATTTAAAGGAACATTATTACCAAAATTGTCTTTATTGCAGCAATGCATGCTTTTTATTAAAAATGGGAATTCATAGACCAATTTCGAGATAATTGACAGATTTCTAATTGTATACCCATTTTGGAAAGGCACAACTTCTGTCCTGTACAACCCTACAGAGACAGATAAACTATGTTAAACCCCAGGGTAGCATTAAGGATTCCCGTATCACTTCCCAAAACGATTACTAAGTGTTGGAAACTTTCTTTTTCTGGCATTACTATAGCTTAAATAAATTATTTCTGTAAAGAAAACCTTGCCTTGCGGGACTTTTTTCAGAAATAATGTATATGAAATAAATAAAATATAAATCTTCAACGAGTCTAGAATGGGATTCGAACCCTTCAGATTTTTAAAGCATCGCTCTTACCGATTAAGCAATCTGGTTTAAGGAAGTGGCCTTGCAAAAGTGTGCTACAATAATTTCCAAAGGGGAGGTTACTGTATATAGGGGGGGGGGGGGTTACATGTACTGTATATAGGGGGGAAAAACACAGTGAAGTGGGACAGGGGTCCTTAAGTTTAAACGTATACAAAATGTTGATTTGTGTAATTTAAATATTTTTTAGGAGAAACTGTATAAAGTGGTAGAGTTGAGAAGATCTTTCACATATTCCACGTCTTTACACGCAAATAATTTAACGTTTAAACACCCTTAAACAATCAATTAACATGATATGGATACAAGTGATTTGCATTGCATTTTCAAAATATATACGAATTTAAAGCCTTCTTGATAATAACCAACAGTACCATTTATATCTTATTACATGGAAAAAAAATGTTACATGCTAATCGTTAATCGTAGCATATAATACTTATTATTGTTTAGATATATAATTAAAAACAGACAAAATAATGGCTTACCTAATTTCCATGCAAAGTAGTATTTAGATCGATGTAGACTAACGGCTATTATCATATAAAGATTTCGGTAGATGATGTTTGTTTTGTACAAAAATGTGTCATCTGAAAAGAAAAGAAAATCAGGATGCTATAGCAATATCTTAGTATGTATGAAACCAACATGTATCAACATTTTAAGATACTGAACAGCTATCCCTGGTTCATGAGTTTCAGTTGCAGGTTGGAAAAAAGAAATATTAAGAATGGCTCGATATCAATTATGATAGATAAATCCGGGGTTTAAACAATAATTTGGGAATAAACGTCTGCAAAAGTACCAAAACGTTATTTACTTTACAACAATTTTTTAAAACTTCTATTATTCACTCTTGTTTGCCCGGATGTTAGTGTACTAGGGGTCTTAATGTGGGAGGAAACCGGAGTACCTGGAGAAAACCAACGTGTTCGGGAAGTTGACCCCGTACCTTTTCACGTCCGATTGGGGAATCGGACCCCGGCCGCCTTCGTAAAAGGCAAGTGCGCTATTCACTGAGGTACCCGACCACCCAACTCAAAAATAGTAAAAAGGCACAATGTCTTAATGTTAAATCAAGGTTCTTTCATGTCAAATTGTCAGAGCAAAAAAATGACCTAAAATTTTCCCATCCTCGATACTCCAGAGGTTACACTATCTTTCGCTCTTTGCACCCCCGTGATTTGTCATACCAAACTAAAGTCATGTGATTAGCTCTTTCATTGGTCTCAGGCAAAAGATAGCTAGACTGATAGTGTCCATTAAAGATTGCAGAAGACGGACATTCGACTTCAAAGCCATCCAATTCTACTGTTACGCGCTCCACGAGATCCTTTACAGTAAATCAAAGGATCAATTTAGTCTCCTTTGTTTCATCCACAAGGTGATGCATACTGAGCCTTCAACTTTGCTATGACATATGCCGGGGGGCTGAGAGCGAAATGAGAGTAAACATTGAGTATCGAGGATGATTATTTCTCGGACCCTGCACGGGTTGTAAAAAGGAAGAGGAAATACCTATAGAATAACATAAAATATTATAGCTGCCGAGGTACAAATAGGGAAGTAGATTGGTGTAAGAAGTACGTTACCTACCATCTAATTAAATACTTATCTAGTTATATGAAATACTACCTGCCATAGTAGAAATAGGGAAGTATATAGGCGTAAGAAGCATCAGGACTCCAGTCACGATCGCTACTAAACTTGTTTCTACCATGGCTGCCTGCAATTTTAAAAACAATGCAAAGACATACATTACATTTGAACACATAAACTAGATAATTTGTACGTTTTGTACTTGCGGTATTTTACAATTTACGAGTTACAAAAAAAATAACTCATTGACGTGTATGAAAGATTAAGACCGAACAATTGTAACGCACGGTACTGTTGCTTATCTGATTCATATAAGTGTTTTGTTAAATAAAATAAGACATTGTGTCTGTCTTACGATAAATTACTCTTCCGCTACAACATTTACCGCCAGTGTTTAATAAAGCCCTTCTCCTCAAAAAATTTATTGAAGTTAAAGAAGGAAACTTAGTAAGATAATCAATATTGTATTGCTTTATATTTTTTTTAATAACATGTGATTTTTATACTTAATGGATTAAATTACGACTTTTTTCACTTAATGAAAAACAGGTTTGGTCTCAATTTTTATTATAATTTCAAAAAGTCTCTCTCTTATAACAGTGAAAGGGACATTACTCGTGCAGAGTTAAGATGTTTAGTTTATAATCGTCCAAAGGCAGAAAATAAACTTTACCTGTTTTGTACAGTTACAATGTATATAAATATGATTACCTCTCTACGGCTCTGCCACTGTATAACCCTACCGAGTTCAAATAACTAAACGAATTTCCCCTTACCTTGAAGGTGTGACAGAGAAATCTCCAACCCGAGGGGTGATGTTTTTGGTTGTCTAACCCGAGGCTCTGATCTGGAGATTTCTCTGTTACACCCACAAGGTAGGGGATGATAATTTCTTTCCCATCCTATTATTTCAGTCACAACTTTACCGACATTAGTCTGCCATGTATTAAAACAAAAACACATGTGGGGTATGCATATCGTCATTCACTTCTAATGACGTCACAATTACCGGTGACACAATGAACCACGTGGTAATAGGCACGAAACTTTCTTCCCCTATGGGATGACAAGATGATCCTTCCCGTCTAAAATAGGAGACACACCTATGAAGGGTGGGAGAAAAAACTTATCCTTTCCGGCTTAAACGTGAGATACACCAGTGAAGGGTGGGAGAGATTCATATCACCTATGAATGCCATAGCCCACTTGTCGGCGTCATCTTGATTATGACGTCATATTTGTGACATTGGTCAGTTCTACTGGCTCTCACTGGACTAGGACTATTTTATTAATTTATCATACGCGAAACATACACTTATTTGAACTAATTTGATTAAATTTTATATGAGATAAAATATTTGTTAGATGGTAGATATCAATATGGAACAGTTCTAAACGCACAATGATACTCTATATAATCCACTTGGAATGTGACAAATTTAACAGGAAGAGCTGGGACGCTATATAATGGACAATGAATGCTTATGCATATAGGTGTAGCTGAACTTATGTAGTATAGCACGTTCTGTCTTAAAACTCGTATGTAAATGATGTAATAAAACAATAGTAAACCTATGACGTCAGACTGCCGTGGATTTTACAATTGAATTGTGACATTCGATATGTTCATATATGTTCACTGTATATTTACAGCTTTACTCAAGATTCTTTACGTAACAGTGACATCAGTTTTAAAAACACAAACTTGTTGTGGGACTCAAAACACTGCCACAAACTGTGAGAGGTAGCATGCCTTTCATAGAATGACGTCATGTAACTCAATACAGTTACACTACTTCATTGCAGTATTTATGCAGTTTTATTTATGTCCAAGATAAGACAGTATTATCAGTTAAAGTGTTATCGTATTCAAAACCAATATAAATTACCCCTTATAACATTTTACGGTAGAAAGTAGTGCGCGTAGGAATATATCATGTTACATTAAAGTTTTACTTGATACACAAACATTGTACGTATTCAATCGATCGATCAGCACATCCTCCCGTTTCGACTGACATATGAAATTAACAGTTTCGTTAAATCATAGCACAGGTAAACAAAACAAATCGCTCATTCAGCCATAGCTTGCAAAACAGACCAGCCGATCTTGAAACGTTACGCTTCATTATATACGTACATTTTGTTGTTTGTAAAGTAAAATGTTCATATATCCTATTTCCAAACTGATGAATCTTATTGAAAATTATATATGTTAGTTTCAATGTTTGTTAACAGAAATACTGACCGCTTCATTATTTGGTAATAGTTTCTTTGAATTACCATGGAGATCATACAATGAAATTATAAACTTACATTTGGAGATGGTTCACGCGCTTTGTTGTTGTGATTTTTCTCCTGTAACAAACAGAAATCAGTTATAAATTCAATCTACTGTGAGTCCCTCAATTGAATAGACTATTTCTCGTCTGCTGGATAACCGGACTATTCGGTAATTGAGCGGACGTAAAACCACTTAAACAAACAACAAAAGCTAAACCATTTCATAGTTATGAAGGATGATTATAGAACAAGGATGCAACAGTGTCTCTAAACCCAGCATATTAATGGTTGAAGCAATATACACTAACATGTCACTAATTTATTGTGTTCAAACATTCCCTCACTGTAAAATCAATACACATATGTCAACATCAATACTCATATATATTTCAAAAACAATATTTACTCAAATAAAATATCAATAAGTTTTGATGATATTTACAATATGTTATAGATGTTCTCTTTTATGAAAAAAACATCTGTGTATTTTTAGTGCATGGAACTTAAGAAAAGTATATGCATTGGAAGATAACTTAAGATCAATAGTTATATGAATACATCCGAATGTTTAAGAGAAACCGTATCCGTTACTCGAAACAAATAATTCGGCACTCTAAATAGCTCAAAGATGTAGTTGCCAGATGGTACTGTATATACATATTCAGTTAAAAGAAAACTTTTTCAAAAACAGTGTAATGCGAACAATACCGCTTAAAGATTAAAAGACTATTCGCGGTATACATAGAAAGTACATGTATCTTGTGTCAAACCAATGACAAGCCAGTTTAACATTATAATTCCTACCGTAGTCATATAAATACTTTAAAGAAGCACCTGTAAAACTAAACGCGATGTCTCAATTAATTTATGAGATATATTATTTACAACATTGAGGATATCTTATTTAGTATTTTATGAAGTAAAACCTCGATATCGTGCCCCTCGTTTCATGTGCCACCTCGTTTATTGCCAACATAATTCAATGTCCATTTTCTCGTTTCCTTAAAAATTCCTTTATACATTTCCCTTAATTTAATCAATCCCCTTTATAACGCCAAAATAATCAATCCCCTTTATAACGCCAAAATTTCTCTGGATGAATGGTGGCAGTCTTACGAGATTTTACCGGATATAATATATCACTTTAGCATTTAAATATATCGTTAATTCACTGAAAGATATCTTCAATTCCTTTGAATATATTTCAAAGATATCTTTAAAATATATTTAATATATGTGTCAACTTGCAATACTCACCTTGTTAGGTGGTGGGACTTTAGTACTTGACCCGTCTATAAAACTGAGGTAGTCGTCATAAAACACAAGCGGACCGGACATGATGTCGTGAAATGAAAACATGTAGCTATAATACATCAGCATGGACGGCTTCTTCCTGAGGAACAGAATACACAATGACAAAATTATCAAAACAAACGGAACGCTATCATGAAGTCCTGGTTTAACACTAATCTGAACATTCCACCACAGATGACTCCTTCATAATCCAATCATGTCAGTCAAATCAATGAAAATATAGAAAACAGAAAGACCCTTGTAATTTAGATCGGCTTTACGAAATCAGACGATTAAATAAGTCGTTGATCAACGTAGCCATAGAGGATATCTAACAGTGTTTTCAGTAATACCAAATACATTTTACGATTGTGGCTCGTGCGCACCACGAGTGAAAAATATCAACATATTAGCCACACGAGTGAAATACATTTGGTATTGATGAATACACTGTTAGATATTCTGTTTATTGCATTTATTTTTTTACTAAAACCTACCCCTGAACACATAACGACACATCAAGCTGACAATACTTGATGAATATCCTTTTACCACTAGCGTTTCTAGACAATCCTATGCGACAAAATATAGTCCGCCCTCCAAAAAATAATATATACAAAAAGTCATAGTTAAATTCCTTTAGTTACTTAATTTAATTAAGGAGGAAGTTAACTTCATTTTTGTTAATGACTTATTACTATCATAACTTTAATGATTAAGGAAAAGTCCGGTCAAAATGGTGGGGAGTGGGGAAAATGCAGAATTGTTTTGTCTCCACTTATCCTGATGATAAAATATCCACACCACCTTATGACCCTGGTTCTGTTACACTTTCTGCCAATCTCTAAGCCTAACTTGGAACTTAGAGACGCTGATACCGTGCTCCATTTGACATGGGTTTTCTCCAATCAAACAGTTACAATTGCCGATCTGCATAGCCTGCTGGCTTTCATGAAAATGAAAGCTGACGGTTGAATTAAACGTTGTGTTTCCCCAGGGATAATTCCCTCATGATAGATAACAGATGATTATTCTGGGCAGTGGAATGGGCTAATGTCTCAGACGGATTTTCTCGAGGCCTGCGTATCGTTAAGCTAACCAGGCTTTGACCAGATTTGCCACTTGAAATTTTCATAGTGTAGTATTTAATCAGTGTTTTTATTGGTCAAATCAGCAAAAGTGAAATTTTTTACAAGTGACTTTTATAGAAGTTTTGATCACTCACTTGTAAAAATGTAATAAATTATAATATCTAATTGAAATTCAGGTCAAGATTGTCAAAGTGAGAGAGGTTATTTTTTTGTAGCTTTTTGAGTCAATGCACATTATCGTCGCAGCACTCAATGATGATTGTAAATATGTAATATATTGGATAGTTTACGTTCTTTTCAGTAAACAAATAGAAAATTCTTTAATTTAACACCCAACGAATATATATTAAACTTCGTAATTTAAAAAGTATCATAGTACGATAGCACACAATTATTTTGCAGTAGCAATTAATCTTTATTCACTGTTTAGTTACCTAGAACAGGGCTATTAAAACGTAACGTTAAAAAACATCCTCAATAATCTTCGGGTTTTTCTAATGAATATATCTTTTTATTCAAATGAAATCAGTCAATAGTTTCGCTGATAGTGTTACTAATAAATAGAAATCAGAAGTCCTTAACGTTACTGGACACACTTCACCGATAAAAAAAAAATAATCTTGTATTCTTTATACCTTATACAATTCTTTCGTTGATCCTCTGACAGTGTAACATCTGGCACATCCATACCGTCATGTAATGAGAAGGCCACGCTTGTCACCTTCTGTGTCATTAGCATCATGGGTCTAAATAACAAGGCAAACCTTAGTCAGTACACATCAATGGTATCAATTTACATAACGAGGAGGTTGCTTTGACAACGTTACTGTTTTCTGTGTTTCGTCAGTCGATCCAAAGACATCAATGAGATAACTATTATAAAACTCTTCACAAGAAATGTAATGTAGCACAATTAGTTGGTGAGTTGGCCAGACTACATTGTACCGTTGCACAGCCAATTGCCGTAAGAGAAGAGATAACATTTCATATTTTTTAAAGGGAATTCGGAATTGGCTGATATGTTTTTTATAACCTGATAAATATTACACTTTTTCATATAAATAATAATAACAGACAGATGTGAAACTATTACTCGATGATGAATGGTCCTCAATAAGGAAATTTCTGCATCGAGAAGAAACTAGCTTTTGAAGGAACGTTCTTTCTTATATCGAATTTCTAATTATCATTAGAGATTAAAAGTTTTTACAAAATACCAAAAAGTATTCATAAACACACTTAACAGCCTAAATTGATTATGATGTCTTTTTTGTTTTTTAATCAAATCATACATGTTTATAGCATCTATTTCGTTTAAGCTTCTGTTTCATGTCATAATATCTTCACCTTCGATTGAACACCTACATCTAGATTAACAGATTTAGGGTAGAAACACTACAATAACTCGATATTGATATTACGAGAACTACGGTCGTGTAATATAATGAAGCAATTATCAACTACGGTAGGGTTTTGTACTGAAACAATTATTAACTACGGTCGTGTAAATTACTGAAGCAATTATTAACTAGATAGCAGTGTACAGTACTGTACGATGGTCATGGGTGATATTTTATACAATGAATTTGTATCAAAATTAAAAAAAAAAAATCAGCACTAAAATTGGCATATACATGATGTGGAGGACTATGTGGGCTTCATAATCTAAACAAAATAATATTCGAATTTGGTTTGAGACTACAGTTTTGGGCATTTACAAAATGACCTATGCTAAAACGTGAGTAATCCTGTTATCGAGTAGGTGATATTTAATTTATGACAGGTTTTAAGAAAAATATTACTACTTGCGGGGATCAAATGTTGGGAAAAATTCAAGGTTTTTTTGTGCTTATTTTGGTGTTTTTTGATGTTGTAACCATGGTTTTCACAAGTCCCAAATTTGAGGAAAACAGTTTTTGAAAAACAAATCAGTCTTCTTAACAAAATGTAATTAAAATGTAGTTTATAAATATGTACATATATGTAGGTGTGTTGTGCAGGTTGAACTCACTATCCATGTTTATCTGAGACATGCCCTTTATTTTTAAGGATCCAGACATTTCTACTGTACACTGCTACCCTACGGTCGTGTAATGTACTGAGGCAATTATTAACTACAACAGGGTTTTATATTAAAGCAATTATTAAATTCGGTCGTGTAATACACTGAAGCAATTATTAACAACGGTCCTTTTATGTACTAAAGCAATTATTAACTACGTTCGTGTAATGTACTGAAGCAATTATTAACTACGGTCGTGTAATGTACTGAAGCAATTATCAACTACGGTCGTGTAATGTACTGAAGCAATGTTTAACAACGATCGTGTAATGTAATGAAGCATTTATCTCCTGATGTTGTGGACATTTTGGTAGCCTGTAGAGTTTGCGGAATAAATAATGTTCGGTTCAAGCACTGTTGCGTCCTTCAACAACATTATTGAAGTATAGTTCCCTCAACAGAGGATAATAATTGAGCAGGTAATCAATAACATTCGACAGTTACTTACCCGGTGACGTCTAGCGAGAATCCACCATAGTCATAGTATAGTCGGTACGAATGCATTATCACAATGTACGCAAAGGCGACGAAAAAGACAAGCGAGTGATACGATCGTCTAGGACCATACAGCACCAGGAGATAAGGCAGAGTGGCGTATAACACTAAGTGCAGCAGCTGACTGAAATGATAGAATACTTTCCTCGTCAGACAATGTTGAAGACGTTGTTGCATTAACGTTGATATTAGTTATAGTTTAGTAAAATAGAAGAATAGTTTACTGAATACAGGAAAGAAAATACGGAGTGCAATACTGTTTTCGCCCACAACCACTATAATTGATTCACTCAAGTTCCATATGTAAAAAGTGCTGGGAGTTTGTACACATATTTGGTGAATAACGCCCTGGACGTTTTTAATTTGTCAATCTTCTAATAATGATCTCACGTGCATTGTAAGGTCATCTTTCATTGTGATGTCATGCTTTATGGCAATTGTTCCCACTATCGGAAACATATTTACAGGCGGAAACATGTGGTTTTCCAAAGACAAAATATGAACGTTATGGTAGTAAAATGTCTCAAAACTACTACTCTCATTACTTAAATTTCATATTGTAAAAGACACTCGGTAAACTGTTTGTCTTTTACACAATTTGAAACTAGTAATATCTGGAGTTAGATTAGACTGGCCACCGTCTCTAGAATATTACATAATTAAGAAAAAAAAATAACTTTTGATCACTTGGATGTTTGATTCTAGAACCCAAGTTCTAAACTAGGGGGGAGATAAGCTAGTAGTAAAATGCAGCTGAGAAATTCTTCATTAAAAACTTAGGGGATGGTAGCCAGTCTAGAGTTAGATAGACTGACAACTAACTACATGTTGTATCACTCATTGAGGTGCTTCTATGTTTCACTCTCAATAATAGTAACATAAATAAACTGATTACATAGATATAGTATGGATTGCAGTACATTTGCAACAATCTCTATAACGGTAACATTCTATGTAACATACTAGGTAAGGCACATATGCTACAGATAAAACAGTAGCACAGCACAGGTGTTACATTTGCTATCACGGTGATATGTAATTGGTTGAGTGTCCGTCTGCAGTTCGGAGGCTCCCGGATTCGAACCTTGATCTAACCGTGCATTTTCCGCTCCTTCTACAAATATACTATATTAACTATAGCTACGGTACATGCTTCAGGTTAAACAGTAACAAAGAACAGGTGTTACACTCGCTATAACGGCGACACGCTATTTTGATTACAGGTATGATAATGCTAGATACGACACAGTAAAACTAGCGATAACGGTTATGTACTACAGGTAAACAGTGATGGTGTTATATTTGCTATCGGATAAACGCAACACACACAGGTGAATCCACCCTTAAAATTTAGTGATAGAAATAGTATGCCAGAAATGAAATACACGGCATCATACAGCTGTTTCGTCCTTCAAGGACTCATCGGGGATAAAAGGGGCCAAAAAGTAGGCGAAACAGAGGGGCAGGTGCGTAAAACCCCTGGATTTGTGAATTTGAAGTAGTCCATTTAAGATTTAATATATGTAAAGTATGTATTTTATGAACCGTGTAACAACTCAAAAGAGACGATCAAGGTTACAGCCAACCTCAGGGTCTAATAATTCAAAAGCAGAGTCTATCATATTAAAGGATGAAGACAACACACACACACAGGTGACCGCAATTTTAAAATTTGGTTACATCGAGGAGAGTTTTGAAAAGTACTATTATATTCACTCGCTATAACGGTATCGTGCTTTAATGCCAGATGCACGGTAGTCTAGTGGTAGGACGCTAGGCTCGTGACCGAAGGGTGGCGGGTTCGAGTCACGTCAAGGCACTGTGTTGTATCTTTGATGGAATTTACACTTCTGTTATGAAAAAAAAAAAATGTCTTACGGAAACTGAAACTCCTATTAAGTAGGGATGCTCTTTTAATAATTTACAAGACTTTTATTTTACCTGTTTTAGAATATGTTTGTGAGTTGTCGGACGGTTGCTCTATTTTTGAATCTGAAAAGTTAGAAAAAGACCAACGTGAGGCTGCTCGCATTATATTAGGACTTCCTTCATAAACCCCTATTAATACTTTATATTACAAAACTAGTCTTGAAACTTTACCAAATCGCAGAAAACGGAGGAAACTTCAACTATTGTATAAGATGCATAATAAATTAACTCCTGATTACTTCAATCATCTTTTGTCGCCTTTATCTGGAGAAAATAATTGTTACGCGTTACGTAACACAAATAACTATAGGATTCCTCGTTTCAGATTATCTCTTACTAACTCTTCTTTTCTAACTTCTACTCTTCACTATTGGAATAACTTAGAAATTCGGTTCGATCCCTACCCTCTATTAATTCATTCAAATCATGTTTAACATCAAATATTCAATCAAGTCCACCTATTTACTTTAAAATCGGAAATCGTAAACTTAATATTTTGCATACTAAGCTCCGACACCAGTGCTGTTCCCTCAATTATAACCTTTTTAGAATTAACCTTGTTGAGAGCGCATCTTGTAATTGTGTTCATCCTTGTGAGAATGTCTCTCACTGTTTTATGGAATGCCACCTTTTTACAAACGAAAGACGTATTTTGGTTCAAAATTTGATTAATTTGAATGTTGCGTTAAACTTCGAAATTCTTTTGTTTGGCAATTCACAATTTTGCGTGGACCTTAACTCAAACATTTTTAGATTTGTGCAAAACTGTATTGAATCAAGCAAGAGATTTTGAGTTCAAATTGTAATAACAATTGTATATATCTATTGTCATTATTGTAATGTCATTTAAAATGTATATTGGGAGAAGGCGTTGATAAGATGTTATAACGACATATGGACTAGGCTCTGATAAAGCGGTATATACAAATCTGGAATTTTTACATCTTGTACAGTCTCCAGTACAGTACTGGTATATGCTCGTTAGCGTGGTGGCGTAATATTGTGTACAGTAAATCCTCGTTATACTGTCACCAATTGTCCATAGGTGGTTTGGCGTTATAAAGGAGTTTGGGGATAAAATAAGGTCAACACATATAGAAATTCTAAACAAACAATTAAAAAGAGAGAGTAAGCGAGTTAGCAGATTAAAAGAAGGGTGTTATGCGAGGTTGAACTGTATACATACTTACTACAGCAAATCCATCCATTATTACAAGGCTGTTAAATGTTTTAGACAATTTTTAAATAACTGCCTTTTATTTCGATAGAGCAATTGTAACGGTATAACCATTTAAATGTACATCAGAAGGTAAGTGTATTTACTAAATACTTACTACCCAAAGCAGAAATAACCTAATGCTAGGCCTAAGGTTAACTCAAGAACATGGCGTTGCGTTGTTCTCTCCCTGCCTGCAGGGAGTGCCTTCCGCATCAATATCCCGCTGGAAAAGGCTATAATGAAGGAGGCTAGGAAATTGATCTGCAAAGAAAATAAAAAAGGGAGTGTAGTGAATGTATGCTCGGTTGCTTGGTGACGGTGCTATCGGTTAACGATTTAAATCACATTTACATGATATTAAATCAATCTCTGCAATTTATAAAAACTGGATTCAATGTTGATCAAATAAATTTCTTCGTGCTTCCAAAACCACAGCAAGGTTCATTATCTCGATTATTTGAATATCCTGCATATCTTTCATATTTTGTATTGGTGATAATTTCGAACAGATGAAATATTTAACGTTATTATGAGTGTTTATTAAAATGTGTTAACAAAAAAAAAAAAAAAAAAAAAAAAAAAACANAACACCGAAGTTTCTTCAAAAATATAATTTAAACTCAAAATTGATTAAACAATGGTGAAATTTGAACAAAAGATTGATTTACATGAATCCATTGAAAAAGCAGATGGTGAATAAGACCAAGTTGTCCAGAAGGTTACACTAAGGTAATTGTAATGCTAAATATACTACACAAGTAACTCGGATATATCAATAAATACGTTTATTTCGAAGTTGAAGTATTGTTCCACTAACTACCATCAGAAGAGATACGAACGCAAATTTAGTTATAAAAATCATAAATACATCTTGTACCTCGACATAACGAAATCTGAATGTAAAATTTCGCTCACAAATATTATTAATACAGTATCTAGATATAACGAGATTTTTATATATATGTACATGTATTACACAAATGGGATAAAACCGCGATATGTCGAAATGTCAAGTTATTCCAAAGTAATGGTGTGATCGACATTGTGAGTACATGTACATATTACTTGTATATCACAAATATACTGCATTCCCCGACATAACGATGTCTGCATGCACATTTCAGTCATAAAGTAATAAATACGCACCACACCACACGTAAGGCAATGTAATGGAATGAACATGTGTGCAGCTTTATTTTGTTGCTGCGACGGTACGGACGACTGGAGAAAACAAATGTCTTTCTTTAAACACCCAATGAATAATAATGGCATCGATCACGTGTTTCTAACGTACACTCTTGTAGCATCCTTTGTATTTTGTATAACATGTTTAACATGTAGTGGTAGAAATTTCATGAAAATCTCCATAACTCTTGAATAGAAAGCATTGACTAATTGGAAACGTCTGCTATTATATGCCCAACGTTAGACTAGCAGACGACGGCGAATCACTCTGTCTAGTATTTCCAGACAAATCCAACTGAACTGCTCGTCTCATGTTTGGTCAACAGTTCGTATAGATTTAGACGGAAATACAGAAAAAAATATCCACAACGTCAACATATATACTTTAAATATCAATTGAACGTGTATACGACTAGACAGAAACAGATATTACTGACAATGAACGACATCATTAACCACCAACAATAAATATAGTTCAGGAAGGATTTCAATTCCTTCAACACGTATAGCATCCATTACCGTAAGATATTGCTTAGTATTTTTAACATATATTGTTGGGTATGGTCTTGTAATCAAACAATATGATTTCAATTACATGTTTTGTCTGTTCCTTGAAGTATAATTTCAGATTATACAAAATAAATTTAATTAACTGTACGTGTCATTAAGCTGAATAGGCTTGTTAAACGTGTATTGCTCGTCTAGCTTAAGTTATTTCGTTTAACATGTCCTTGAGCTGAAGAGGCTTGCAAAATCTTACTTGTCTGCTAAATTGTTAATCAATATAAATTACATTTGTTAAAAGCTTTGTTAGCTTACCTATTTGAATTTAACATGTCGTTAAGCTGTAGAAGCTTCCTAAATCTGACTCACTTGGTTGTTGGTTTACACTTCTATTGAACGCCTTGTTAGTTTAACCACCCATGCTTTATTTTCAAAAAATACAGTAAATCACAACACGATATGCAAATATATTTAACTTGTAGTGTAACAGTTTGCCGTGGTGTAGATATAAAATCAACGTTTATATATATGCAAGTGATAACATCTAAAATATATACATACACATGATAACGGACTGTAACGTATGTACAAATAATAGCCAAAAATTGTAAAGATTCGCCTTTACAATATACTTGTATACAATTAAAAACAAACAACTACAGATGTCTACGCATGTTCAGATTACAACTTTAACTTAAGGTGTTTAAACACTAATCGATGGTAATTGCATACATGACGTTGCTTGATTCATCGACTAAGAATACTAAATGTGTTACGACCACCATCATGACAACTAAAGATATTTTCACCGTGTTTTCGATTATAGGTGACAGACATGTGTTTCCTGAAATCGACATGCCTCGTCCTGATTGGCGCAAAGGTGATACAATTAGTTCGTACCTTCTGAAACATGTAGTTCCGCCCTTCCTTCGTTGTGAGTGTTTGCTTTTTTTTAATTTAAATTTAAATTTTCTATATATCGACCTTTTAATCAATAGCTATTATTTTGTTCTTCTGTGTTGACGCTGCGAATGTTGTCTATCTGATATGTATTAGTGTTTCTTTGTTAAACCAATAGGGATATATCTAATTGTGACTCTAAATATATATCGTATTCTTAGCAATCGGACTACACACTATTATGAATACAGTATGGGCTTGAAAAATGTACGTACATGGTCGATGGGAAGTCCGATGACATCACACAACGGCTGCAACAGCATCGAACCTTGGTAGAATTGTCCGGTCTGGACCATTTTTCATCTGCTGTGTGATATTCGATCACCAGATTGTGATGTCTTCCTGGCTGTTTGAGAAAAGTGCAACACTATGAAGCACAGGGTGATCCATGTCAACGCCACCTCAGTCAACAGTGTATGATACACTCGTCCTGATAAACTGACTCTATTTAACGTGTGACCGAGACGGTAAATACACAACCAGTAGTTAGATCGATACAGTGGTCACCACGGTTAGGAACAGTCATAGGAATAGGACAATATTGCAATCCTGTTCTCCATGCTAACACTGTAATATAACTTCATCATTACAGACCGATCGATATCCTTGAATACGGATATTTTAAGGGTTATTGTATTCCAGTCGTAATCACTATGTGTCATAATGGGAATGCCCTTTGTTTCAGAGCACCTTATGTGCCTTTGTGTGTTTTTGTTATAATTGTCTTTGGATTTTTTGCAGTGCTTATTGTGCCTTTGCCTTCGTTTTTAATGTCTCCCTAGTTGCTGCTGTATGTTTTTATTTAAAGTTGCATTCTGTGTACATGTGTGTTTACACTATTGCATGTTTTGTCGTTTTGCGTGCGTGTGTGTGTAGTTGCTGTTGTGGCCACTGTGTGCTGAAGCTGTAGCAATTTAGTGTATCGACGCTGTGGTATATGTTGTTATGTGTTGACACGGTGGTACATGTATGTATATTATAGATGGATGTTGAGGTTGTAGTTTCGTTGTACTCTGACGCTGTGGCTTATATTGACATCGTGTCTCCTTTGCTTTGGTATATTTTGTCTTTGTTGACACTGTGATATATTTCATTGTTATGTATTGACGGTGTACATGTAGCATAGTTTGTGGTTTGTTAACGCCGTGGTTCATTTTGTCGTTGTGTCGACGCTGAGGTATACTTTGTCGTTGCGTCGACGCTGAGGTATATCTTGTCGCTGTGTCGACGCTGAGGTATATTTTGTCGTTGTGCCGACTCTGAGGTATAATTTGTCGGTGTGTCGACGCTGAGGTATATTTTGTCTGTGTGCCGACGCTGAGGTATATTTTGTCGTTGTGTCGATGCTGAGATATATACTTTGTCGTTGCGTCGACGCTGAGGGATATCTTGTCGCTGTGTCGACGCTGAGGTATATTCTGACGGTGTATCGACGCTGAGGTATACTTTGTCGCTGTGTCGACTCTGAGGCATATTATGTCGTTGTGTCGATGCTGAGATAAATACTTCGTCGTTGTGTCGACGCTGAGGTATATTCTGACGGTGTATCGACGCTGAGGTATACTTTGTCGCTGTGTCGACTCTGAGGTATATTTTGTCGTTGTGTCGACGCTTAGATATACTTTGTCGGTGTGTCGACGCTGAGGTATATTTTGTCTGTGTGCCGACGCTGAGGTATATTTTGTCGTTGTGTTGACGCTGAGGTATATTTTGTCTTTGTGTCGACGCTGAGGTATATTTTGTCTGTGTGCCGACGCTGAGGTATATTTTGTCGTTGTGCCGACGCTGATGTATATTTTGTCGTTGTGTCGACGCTGGGGTATATTTTGTCGGTGTCTCGAGGCTGGGGTATAATTTGTCGCTGTGTCGACGCTGAGGTATATTTTGTGGTTGTGTTGACGCTGAGGTATATTTTGTCTTTGTGTCGACCCTGAGGTATATTTTGACGGTGTGTCGACGCTGAGGTATACTTTGTCGGTGCGTCGACGCTAAGGTATATCTTGTCGCTGTGTCGACGCTGAGGTATATTCTGACGGTTTGTCGACGCTGAGGTATACTTTGTCGCCGTGTCGACTCTGAGGTATATTATGTCGTTGTGTCGATGCTGTGATATATACTTCGTCGTTGTGTCGACGCTGAGGTATATTTTGGCGGTGTGTCGACGCTGAGGTACATTTTGTCGCTGTGTCGTCGCTGAGGTATATTTTGTCGTTGTGTCGATGCTGAGATATATACTTTGTCGTTGCGTCGACGCTGAGGGATATCTTGTCGCTGTGTCGACGCTGAGGTATCTTTTGTCGTTGTGTCGACGCTGAGGTACATTTTGTCGCTGTGTCGTCGCTGAGGTATATTTTGTCGTTGTGTCGACGATGAGGGATATTTTGTCGGTGTGTCGACGCTGGGGTATATTTTGTCGCTGTGTCGACGCTGAGGTATATTTTGTCGCTGTGTTTCATTGTTATGTATTGACGGTGTACATGTGGCATAGTTTGTGGTTTGTTAACGCCGTGGTTCTTTTTGTCGTTGTGTCGACGCTGGGGTATTCTTTGTCGTTGCGTCGCCGCTGAGGTATATCTTGTCGCTGTGTCGCCGCTGAGGTATATTTTGTCGTTGTGCCGACGCTGAGGGATAATTTGTCGGTGTGTCGACGCTGGGGTATATTTTGTCGGTGTCTCGAGGCTGGGGTATAATTTGTCGCTGTGTCGACGCTGAGGTATATTCTGACGGTTTGTCGACGCTGAGGTATACTTTGTCGCCGTGTCGACTCTGAGGTATATTATGTCGTTGTGTCGATGCTGTGATATATACTTCGTCGTTGTGTCGACGCTGAGGTATATTTTGTGGTTGTGTTGACGCTGAGGTATATTTTGTCGTTGTGTCGACGCGGAGGTATATTTTGTCGTTGTGCCGACGCTGAGGTATATTTTGTCGTTGTGCCGACTCTGAGGTATAATTTGTCGGTGTGTCGACGCTGAGGTATATTTTGGCGGTGTGTCGACGCTGAGGTACATTTTGACGCTGTGTCGACGCTGAGGTATATTTTGTGGTTGTGCCGACGCTGAGGTATATTTTGTCGTTGTGCCGACGCTGAGGTATATTTTGTCGTTGTGTCGACGCTTAGATATACTTTGTCGGTGTGTCGACGCTGAGGTATATTTTGACGTTGTGTCGACGCTGAGGTATATTTTGGCGGTGTGTCGACGCTGAGGTATATTTTGTCGTTGTGTCGACGCTGAGGTATATTCTGACGGTGTGTCGACGCTGAGGTATACTTTGTCGCTGTGTCGACTCTGAGGTATATTATGTCGTTGTGTCGATGCTGAGATATATACTTCGTCGTTGTGTCGACGCTGAGGTATATTTTGTCGGTGTGTCGACGCTGAGGTATATTTTGACGGTGTGTTGACGCTGAGGTATATCTTGTCGCTGTGTCGATGCTGAGGTATAAACTTCGTCGGTGTGTCGACGCTGAGGTATATCTTGTCGGTGTGTCGACGCTGAGGTATATTTTGTCTTTGTGTCGACGCTGAGGTATAATTTGTCGCTGTGTCGCCGCTGTGGTATATTTTGTCGGTGTGTCGACGCTGTGGTATATTTTGTCGGTGTGTCGACGCTGTGGTATATTTTGTCGGTGTGTCGACGCTGAGGTATATTTTGTCGCTGTGTCGACGCTGAGGTATATTTTGTGGTTGTGTTGACGCTGAGGTATATTTTGACGGTGTGTCGACGCTGAGGTATATTGTGTCGACGCTGAGGTATATTCTGACGGTGTGTCGACGCTGAGGGATATTTTGTGGTTGTGTTGACGCTGAGGTATATTTTGCCGGTGTGTCGACGCTGAGGTATAATTTTGTCTTTTTGTCGACGCTGAGGTATAATTTGTCGGTGTGTCGACGCTGTGGTATATTTTATCGTTGTGTCGACGCTGAGGTATAATTTGTCGGTGTGTCGACGCTGAGATATATTTTGTCGTTGTGTCGACTTGAGGCGTCGGTGTGTCGACGCTGAGGTAGATTTTGTCGTTGTGCCGACGCTGAGGTATATTTTGTCGGTGTCTCGACGCTGAGGTATAATTTGTCGGTGTGTCGACGCTGAGGTAGATTTTGTCGTTGTGCCGACGCTGAGGTATCTTTTGTCGGTGTGTCGGCGCTGAGGTATATTTTGTCTTTTTGTCGACGCTGAGGTATAATTTGTCGCTGTGTAGACGCTGAGGTATATTTTGACGCTGTCGACGCTGAGGTATATGTTGACGGTGTGTCGACGCTGAGGTATATTATGTCGTTGTGTCGACGCTGGGGTTTATTATGTCGTTGTGTCGACGCTGGGGGATATTATGTCGTTGTGTCGACGCAGGGGTATATTATGTCGTTGTGTAGACGCTGTGGTATATTTTGTCGCTGTCGACGCTGAGGGATATTTTGACGGTGTGTCGACGCTGTTGTATATTTTGTCGCTGTGTCGACGCTGAGGCATATTTTGTGGTTGTGTTGACGCCGAGGTATATTTTGACGGTGTGTCGCCGCTGAGGTATATTTTGTCGGTGTCTCGATGCTGAGGTATACTTTGTCGGTGTGTCGACGCTGAGATATATTTTGTCGTTGTGTCGACTTGAGGCGTCGGTGTGTCGACGCTGAGGTAGATTTTGTCGGTGTGTCGACGCTGTGGTATATTTCGTCGCTGTGTCGACTCTGAGGTATATTTTGTCGTTGTGCCGACGCTGAGGTATCTTTTGTCGGTGTGTCGGCGCTGAGGTATAATTTGTCGGTGTGTCGACGCTGAGATATATTTTGTCGTTGTGTCGTCTTGAGGTATATTTTGTCGTTGTGCCGACGCTGAGGTATCTTTTGTCGGTGTGTCGGCGCTGAGGTATATTTTGTCTTTTTGTCGACGCTGAGGTATAATTTGTCGGTGTGTCGACGCTGTGGTATATTTCGTCGCTGTGTCGACTCTGAGGTATATTTTGTCTTTGTTTGGATGCTGTGGTATATACTTCGTCGGTGTGACGGTGCTGAGGTATATTTTGTCGGTGTGTTGACGCTGAGGTATATTTCGACGGTGTGTCGACGCTGAGGTACATTTTGTCGCTGTGTCGACGCTGTGGTATATTTCGTCGCTGTGTCGACTCTGAGGTATATTTTGTCTTTGTTTGGATGCTGTGGTATATACTTCGTCGGTGTGACGGTGCTGAGGTATATTTTGTCGGTGTGTTGACGCTGAGGTATATTTTGTCTTTGTGTCGACGCTGGGGTATATTATGTCGTTGTGTAGACGCTGAGGTATATTTTGTCGCTGTCGACGCTGAGGTATATTTTGTCGCTGTGTCGAAGCTGAGGTATATTTTGTCGCTTTGTCGACGCTGAGATATATTTTGTCGTTGTGTCGACTTGAGGTATATTTTGTCGTTGTGTCGACGCTGAGATATACTTTGTCGGTGTGTCGACGCTGAGGTATATTTTGTCTTTTTGTCGACGCTGAGGTATAATTTGTCGCTGTGTCGACGCTGTGTGACATATTTTGTCGGTGTGTCGACGCTGAGGTATATTTTGTCGTTGTGCCGACGCTGAGGTATAATTTGTCGGTGTGTCGACGCTGAGGTATATTTTGTCGGTGTCTCGACGCT